GGTGCGAACAGTGATACGAGGTTAGATGTATGGCTGTGATTTGATGGGGGAATGGAGTTGATCGGAAAGCCAACAGTGAAAGTGAATCTAGAGGAGAGAGACTGGTCAAAGATTGAATACGGACGGTTGGATTAAGATTGGACGGCTGAGAGGTGAGGTTTGAGTGTGACCCCTTGTCCTCTTTTGGTCCCTGTTTTAAGGCACAAACCACGAGATTTGCTCCCACCACCCTCATCTTTTTTAGAACTTTTTTTTTTTTAATTGGGAACGTGTCATTTACCATGAGTGCGTTTAGAATTTGTTTCAAAATAATTTTATTTTTTATATAAAAATAAAAATGAAAATATCTATTTTGAAAATGTTTTCATTTTTTATTGTTCGAAAAACGTAAAAAATAAAAACGGAGTCAATTCCAAACATAACAAATATTTCTTAAGGAAAAAAAAAATCATGCATTAGCCTTGGTAGAGTGAAAAGAGGAGAGGAAATAAATTGAAGGAGGAATTTTGAGGGAAAAAATGAAGAATATTGGGTTGTTTTATAGAGATGAAATTGAAAAGTAAAAAGGTTATCATGGAGCACATTATTTTAAGGTCTTGTTGAGTACGTAGATTCGAGTTTTCAATTCGAGATGAGATGTAATTTTATGTGAGTATTTTTTATTATAGCAAAAAAAATTAAATGTGATTTTTTATGAGAGTTTTTAACTGTATCAAATTTGAATTGAAAACTCAAATAGATGAAATGAACGAGACTTAAATGTTTCCAATTGTGTTTACAAAGGAAGATAAAATGTTTGACAAAACAAATAGTGTAATAAATAATTATTTTAACTATGATTGTACATTATTTTTTTATTTTATACAAGCGTATAAATGTATAATAAATCAAGAATTACGATTTGAGTTGGTGTTTATAGAATTATTCATAATAAATTTGTTTAAACATTTCATTTCCTTTTCTAGCTCGTAATAGGAAAGGAAAGTTCTCACCAATTAGTGCTAGTCTGGTTGGAAATATGAGGTGGAGGAAAGAAGATAAATAATGTGTGTGAATTTTTACTCATACTCTTAATTAATACCCATTTTAATCAAATAACTATATTAATAAAAGAGTATTAATAAAAAATAAAAGATAAAAATTCAGACTCATGCACTTTTAAAAACACTCTTAAAAATAAGTTGTGCAATTTTCTCTTTAAAAAAAAATTAGCTTTCTAACTTCAGTGATGTATATGTGAAAAAATAAAATATAACAATACATGTTTTTACATGTTCCTCAAGACTCGAACTACAAGAAAATGAAACGACAAAATTATAAGGCCAAACGATAATGAAATAATACAGACGACAACAAACACAATAACCGGTTCTAACGAGGAGAAAAAGGTAAACGACACAGTAATAAGGACGAAATTACAAGGTCAAACGACAATGAAAAAACAAATGACAACAACTAGTAAAGGACATGAAAAATGCAAAACAAGTTAAACAGCAATAATCTCATAGGTAAACGAATATTTATAATAAAAAAAATATGTTAAACGTCAACGAAATGCACACTATGTAAAACATCTAAACGACAAAAAAACCTCAAACAACATGACAGACGTAAAAAGTTTAAAAACAATCATAAAAGTGGAAGAGAAGAAAAACACAAATCATTAAAAAACGATTATATAGGAGATGAATGACAAAACAACAATAAATCTGCAAATGACAAAAGGTAAAAGAAATTTTCAATGATAAAACGACAAGAGAACAAACAAAAAAAAAAGTTTTAAAATGCGGAAACCAGCATCAATCATCAAACTACAAACAAATCAACATTTCAAAACGACTACGAAAATTTCTGGAACGGGAAAAAGGAACAACATGATAAAAGGACAACAACAAATTAGGAACGACATGTGAAACAAAAAGCAGCAAAAACCATTGAACGACAATGACGAAATAAACTAAAATACGACAATAAAACTGCAAATGCTAAATGGACAAAATGACAATAATTTAACAATAAAGATTATTCTCATTGGTGCCCCTGTTTTTGGGGTCATACCCAGTTTGCTCCCTGAATTTTAAAAACTCTCACTTTACTTCTCAAACTTTGAATTATTGTCACTTAACCCCTTTTGTTGTAATTTATGTTAAAATCAGAAGGAAAAAGAGGAAGTTAAGTGTGGTCATGTAATTTTTATCTGTTTTTTTTAATAGAAATCCAATAAGAAAAATATATATATATATATATGTTTTTGAAGGGATTAAGTGAAAATAATTCAAAATTTATGAAATAAAGTGAGTTTTAAAGTTTAGTGACAAACTGTGAAACCTTAAAGTTCAGAAGCATTAGTGACAATAATAGTGACAATAATCCTAACAATAAAAAGCACATTGAAAATTAAAAATAACAAAAAAGATAAAGACAGTAATTAAAAAATGTAAAATCACAATTATTGAAAGCGAGAACAATAGAGGGAAAAAGACTACAATTTTTTTATTAAAAAAAAATAGAAAAACGTATAATAAACCATAGAAGCGACAATAAAATCTTAACAGTAAAATTTTAACGCAATAAAATCAAAGAATGACATGAGAGAAAGAGAGAACAATGTTGACAGCCGTGAAAACTAAAAACGACAGTATGGGTAGAGATCCAACATAATAGAAGACAATGGGCCCGTTTAGTTTGCTTATTCGAATTTTTAATTCGAGTTGAGATGTGATTTTATGTAAGAGTTTTTTACTGTAGCAAAAAAGTTAGATGTGATTGTTTGTGAGAGCTTTTTACTGTAGCAAAACTCGAATTTTAAACTCAAATCAACGAAATGAACGGGGCCAATAATAATTATTGGGTGTCTGCTCAACTCCGCATGCCGAGCACTGTTCGGGAGCATGCCGCTAAGAACAAACCACTGGTAACCTGTCGTTGCCAATGTCGCCGAGCATGATGTCTCTGTTGTCCCTATTGCTTGTCGACCACCTTGCCTGAGTATTTTACACCGAACACCACTTAACGACTTACCTCTCCGCTAAACACGTTTTACCTTTGGGAACTCCATGTCATGACTTCCATCATCCGTACAGGGACAGCTCCCACCGTTGGATTGGTAAAGTATAATAGCTATTGATCCACGACACCTATCCCAATATCTGGCAAGCCCGTATAGGACCTCCGACAAACTGCGGGTAAAATCTGAATCTGACAAGAAACTATAATACCCCTAAAGCTCATTTATGAGGTACGGACATTTCTCCCTACCTATCCATTGCTTCCTCATTTATTGCTCTCGATTAAGATACTGACTTGAGCGTCGAAGGGTCTTTAGCCGGTACCACACCGGTGCCCCCAACTGATCCCGAGCCCTATCTGTCCCCCGTGTAGGATAACCAAGTCGGCACTCCAGGAAGCGGAGCAACCCATTAGGAGACCCGACTAAGCAAGTCTAAACCAAGTAGGCCAGTCTGACTATTGTGCGCAGCCGCACGTGGGTGTTGAGTCAGCAAAGACATCAACAATAACATAGGCCCCGTTCACTTCGCTAATTCGAGTTTAGAATTCGAGTTTTTCTACAGTAAAAAGCTCTCACAAACAATCACATCTAATTTTTTTGCTACAGTAAAAAGCTCTCATATAAAGTCACATCTCAACTCAAATTTTAAACTCGAATCAGTGAAATGAACGGGACTATAGTTTAAAACGACAGGAAAGAAAAGGAAATACTGAAAGCGATAGAAGACGCACCAACTGAAACTCCCAGGAACGACAACATAATAGAAAAACAATACCAACCAAAGAAACGAGATAGAAACAACAAAAAACCGGAAACGACAAGAAGATACATAGAAAAAGGACATCAAAGCCCAAATCAAGAAAATGGAAAAACGACAATAATTCAACGAATATAAAAAACTGAACGCGTCAAATTAAAAGCGACATAAATGATGGAAATGATATTATATAGAAACGACAACAAAGAAACAACATGAGTACATATTGTAAAAACAAATACAAATGAAAACAGATTCCGAACCAAACAATTAACTAAAACTACAAGTTAGAAAGCGATACAAATTGTTATTTTTTCAAAAAAAAAAAAAAAAGAAAGAGAAAATACTGACGAGGGACGCCAAACTTGGAAACGACAATGAAAAAACATACAATATTAATGTGTATATTAGACGAATTTTTAATAGTTATATTATATTTTTATCGATAGTTATTGAAATTTCATGTGTGATAAAAATTCAATTTCACGTATATATAAACAGGAATAACATGATAATTGATAAATGATGAAACCGACTCAATCCGAAGAACGAAGACAAAAATATGAAAAGCAACTCTAAAATCCGGAAAACGGCAGGAAAAATGAAATACACGAAAACCGCAAACACACAACAATGTTACAAAACTATTAAAGACATAAACTGGTTTTTTTTTTTTTTTTTTTTTTTTTTTAAAAAAAAGACATAAATACGTGAACAAAAGCAACAAAGAATTAAAAATTGAAAATAATGGTGTAATTACACGGAAAACGACAACAAACTTGATAACGACACGAGAATAAACGTGAGAAGATAAGTTTGAACAGGAAACCTTGAAACGACAACAACCACGACTACTTTTAAAACGAAGATAGCAACTAGAAAGCACACCAAAGTGCAAAGGGCAAAGCTGTAAAACGAAGATAGAAAAATGCACCTACAACAAAACGAAATAACCACATGAATAGGGAAAGAAACCAACAAATAGAGATGGACAAAAGGCTATATTTAGGATTGAGAATTAGAGGATCAGAAACGAAAAGAAGTCTTGAGAATTTTTCGCATAAAATTAATTTGTTAAAACGAAAAAATTGGCATAGTCCTTACATTACATTTTGCGGAAGGAAACAATGAAGTCTCATTGGAAATCCAATATCCTGAACGCGTGCTCTTTTTAAACTCGCCTTTCATTGTCGTTTTTGCTCTGTAACTTATTGACCCTCCATTCTTTAGTCATTACCGTTCCAATATGAAGCAATAACTAGTGAAAAAGCCTCAAGTCACAAAAGCTTCAACTTTCATAAACAACACAGAAGAACAGCTACGAGTCAGGACACTGTTATTTGAGTGCAAGTGCGTAGATTTGCTCATTTGAATTATGCTTCTCCCTGTGGCTTCTTCTATACTGAGATTTCTGGTCAATTGCCATGCTCTCATTCTTCGACCTGGCCGACAATCACTGCACGCCAGTTTCAATAATTATTGCCTCTTATAACAAGTATGCAAAACATGTACTTGAGAAAGCTTGAGCAACTATAAGATCAATGGTCTAGACCACAATCTAAAGCCACAGTCTAATAATAGCTTGAGGTAATATCACAATATATTGAAACATTCTTGGAGAAAGCACATTAGTGCATAAATGTTTTTGCTTGCTAGTGTATGTAAATGCATACGTGAGAAATACAAAGAACAATGTAGGAACTATTCGTAAGAAAATGGAAGGATAAATGTAGTTAGAAATCCATGCGCACCTGTCATTGTACCAGCTTTACTACCAATATTTATGGAGTTGCTTGTATAAATTACCACCGGTCTGCGATTATACTTTAAAGCCATCTCTCATATTACATCCTGGAAAACTGAGTGCGAATTAATAGAAACAAAGGATAAGGATCACAACTTTTTTTTTTTTGCTACTATGATATGCAAACAAACTAGCAGGCGTCATACCCGTTGTTTAAACAGTGGATTAGTATACTTAAGAACTGGTGGTCACTTCCATTCAGGCCATTTGATTGAATCTGCAGATCTTTTCATATTTGATGAACCAGAACCATCGGCAGAATCATGCCACACCATCTCCATCTATAAAGAATTATGATATTACTTAGAGGACAAGACATTTTAAGTTGGGAAGTTGGACAAGCACTTACTAAAAATTGGACCAAAAAAAAAAAAGAAAAAAAGAATACATAGCTTTATAATAGACAGAAAGATAAAAAAGAATTTGACCCAAAACGCTGAACTGATTTACAAGGCTAAAAATGGAAAGTAACAAGATAGAAATGAGTGGTTTCAAGGACTCCCGACCTCCAAGGAAATGTACAGCACCTATACACTTCTCACAAACAAATCTGAAATCCCCTCATTAGCTACTAACCCCCTTATACTAATTCCTACTAACTCTACCAGTCCACTAAGTAAACTAATTCCTAAGTCATTAACAAGGATCCTAACAGAATTCGTTACAAGGACTCCTACAGGAACAGTTAAAAAGTTAAAAGTCAAAATGATGCTTGGTTGTTTCAGCATCTGTTGACGATAAAAGGGGTCAAAACCTGCTAGAAGAGTTTGCTATGGAAACAGTTTACAGCACAGAAGGGTATAAGGTTTTTCTTTGTCCCCTCTTGAGGGGGGGTACTGAGAGTAAGACATCATATGGTGCATGAAATGAGGCGTAACGAGCAATAGAACATGTAAATGAATAGAAAGCTAGTAAGCAACATACCTCTCCAACAATTACTGTGTCACCTTCCTTCACACCAAGTTTCATGAGAGATTTGTTCACACCACAAGCCTCTAAAACATGCTGGAACCTTCTCTCAGAATCCACATATCTGTTTAAGTATTGGCTATCAGTTTTTGACGGTATGAAAAGGGAACGACAACCAGACAGCATTTTGTTCTGAAGATATCTAATGGAGAATCATCTTAATCATCATCATCAATCATCAATTTTGAACAAGCCCACACAAATTTGAGCATCTAGCTTTTTGTTTTTCACAGTATAGTGATATTATGACTTTTATGAACCTACCGCCAGTTTGTCATCTGGACAAAACGCTGCAACCCAGATCCGATAACATGCCAAGTATTGGTATTGCTGTCATGAGAGATCTCAAACTCATCGATCGAGGCAGCTCTCCGCTTACGCACCATATCAGCTACATGATTCAGATTGTTCTGCTCTCCAAAACCTGAAATGATGAAACTCTTCATGAGAGTGTATGAATACTAAGAAGAAAAAACAGTCTACATGAATCACTCATGAAGCTTCAACAGAGTATAGACAAAAAAATTCTGAAGATTTAATAAAGAAAGAGAATAAAGCTCAAACCATCTAACTCCACGGCTGCTTTTCTTTCTTGAAGAAGCTTGTATGCAGCGCATATGACATCGTGAGTGCCCTCCCTTTGCACTGCACTCATGCAAAAGGGTTCAATTCCACGAGCTTGTAGACTTTCCTTGAACGAAGGCCAGTTCTCACGTGCCTCCAGAAGGTCCATTTTGTTAAAAGCAACAACAAAAGGCTTTTCAGCAATTTCAGGACTAAACAGTTCCAACTCCAGACGAACTGCATCAAACTCAAATTCTGGCTGTTGGGATGAGCCGTCAACAACATGTACCTGAGCTTCCAAATAACAGGTCCTATTAATTTACTTGGCAAAATCGCCTACCAAAATAATAATGAGGACTACTCATGCATACAGCATACTACACAAGATGCTAAATAATCCATTTATTGATTTCATCAGGAACCGTCAAATGGAACCACTTAATCAGATAAGACAACAAATGGAACCAGGCAGAAGCTCATACCAGAGCAGAACATCTTTCAGTGTGTCGCAGAAACTCGTGACCCAAACCAAAACCTCGATGGGCTCCTTCAAGTAAACCTGGCAGATCTGCTACAACCATGGTAGAATCATAGTCAAAAGAAACTACACCCAGATTGGGCAATAAGGTTGTGAAGGGGTAATTTGCTATTTCTGGCTGGGCAGCACTTATCACACTCAAAAGTGTACTTTTCCCAGCATTTGGTGCACCGACTATTCCAACATCTGCAACCAGCTTTAGCTCCAGCTCCAACCACCTGATCAAGAGTACCATTATTTCAACTGTTTGTAAATCTACGATATCACGCAAAACATCGTTTATCAGTATATTCTAGTTTGGAAATAGTAAGGGGGAAGAACAGCCCTAACTACAAGATATCCAACCAAGTACGAATAAAAGATCAACCTTTGACATCCAACTATCAAGATTAAACTTTGCAAGCTAGGCAACACATTTAATCACTTAAACGAGCACTAGTTAGCAGACATCGAATTGCCTTAAATCTGTTCATATGGAGCTAACTATGCACGCTCAATTTTCTTTTCAACTGAGGTTTGAGCTCAAACTATCCTGGATATTTAAAATGCTTTAAGAACATGAATGAACGACACTTTTCTCTTTTTTTTTCTTTTTTTTGTTGATAAGAGACGCAAGAGTTGTTACTACTTTTTTTTTTTTTTTCCTTTCCTTGATAGTAAACAGAAACCTATATTGATGAAGATTAATGGAGCAATGAATTTGTTATCCGCTCGATATCTTTCTAAACAAACAAAAAGATTCAGATAGAAACAATCCCAACAACTGTAAATCATATTTTGACCAAATCAAAACGAACTGATCATAACACTATCATCTTGTGATACCAAACAAATAAAACCAATAGATTGACAGAAAAAGAACAAAAAATGGGCTCACATTTCAGGACCCTCTTCGCCGTTCTCCGCAATCCGCGGCACCTTATTCGTCCCGGACTTGAACGACGCATTCCCTCTCCCTCCTCTCCCTCCGGGCAACAGCAAAGCCCTCTGTCCCGGATGCAACAACTCCAAAAGCGCCTCCTCCTTGCCAGCCTCTCTGATCACCGTCCCCGGTGCCACCTTAACCACCACATCCTCTCCCCTAGCCCCGGCCTGCATCCTCCCCTGCCCATGGCTCCCTCTCCCAGCCCGAAAATGGACACTATTTCGGAACGGCAATAGTGAATTCATCGATCCGTCAACCTCAACGTACACATTCCCGCCTCGCCCGCCATCGCCACCCGACGGGCCGCCCAACGGCACATACTTCTCTCGTCGGAAGGCCACCACGCCATTGCCACCATTCCCCGCCCTCACGTAGATTTTCGCTCGGTCAAAACACCGCATTACCGCTGGGACGCCCTTCTCCTTTACGCTTATCTCCTCCGAATCACCCTCACTACCGGAGAATTCAATCTTTTCGCCGTCCTTAAATCCTAAACCCTCCCAATTCGCATCGTCTTCTTGCTCATCCTCGTCTTCCTCTTCGCCACCCACTTCAAAGACCTCGAATTTACCGTAATTAAGCTCCCAATTATCTCCTACACCGTTTTCTTCTTCTTCTTCTTCATCACCTTCTTCGTCGATTTCGCGGCGAATCTCCGCCGCGTAGCTTGATTCTGAGAGCTTAATCTCGGACGCGAATTGGTACGAAGAGGAATCGAAGGAAGGAAGAGAGAAATCCTCTTTGGGAGGCAATCGAGTGTAGGTGGTGGCTTCGGCGCCGACGGAGGAGAGCTCTTTCGAGCTCGTTGTAAGCTTCAACTGAGGAGGGTCGGGCTTAACCTTAGGGTTAGGGTTCCGAGGTCGGTGCTTCTTCGGAGTAGAACCGCGAGGATTCCGAACCCTACGTCCAGATTGAGCGTACGGACAGAAGCATATGGATATGGAGGTCGCCATTGAAGCGGAAACTTAGAGAGAGAGAGACTAGAGAGAGAGAGAGAGTTTCAGAGTTCCGTTGAGCTTTTGGATTTGGGTGGGAAAGAGTTGGCCACGTGTTTGTCGGATTTTTTCTCTTAAACGACGGCGTTTTGATGTAGATATTTTTCGTTTCTCTTCAAACCCCCGAACTTTGGGTCATGTTACAATATGCTCTCTAAATTTCTAAAAGCAACTTTTATTTCCCATGGATTCTGAAATCAAAACAGACGCAAGTCTTTCGGTAGGTTTGGGGACGGAAACTGCCACACGGCACACACGTGATAAAAAGAACATGCGAAACACTGTAAAATGAATAAAAAATAAGAATAAATCTAAGAATGGTCTCTTAAACTCTTTTTTCCCTTTAGAATTAATCTTTATAGTTAATTTTGTTTTATAAATAGTCTTTTAAATTCTAAAAGGATCTCATAAATAATTTTTTTATTAAATTTTGAATGAAAATCGCTAATTTTATCTGATAAAAGGTCAACAAACTATCTTTTCTTTCTATAAATAGTTCATATATTAAGAGTTGTACTAAACTTAGACCCCAAACTAAAAAAGAAGTACTTTCTCTATTAAATAAATAGATGAAAAATATTAAATATGAGAAGTTGTAATTTATGTAGTTCCTAACTGGAAAAAAATTGCCAAAATTATTTTTTTTGCTACATACATTTTTTTAATTTTTTTTATCTATTTATTCACATATTTAACTTTGCTCAATTTTTTTTAAGTGATTATAATTGTCCCACTATATTAATAAATCTAAAATTATTACTCTCCGATAATAATCTCTAAAAATATATACTTTTATAAACATTTTTTGTATTATACCATTTGTAACCGCACACGAAGATATATATAAGCTAGTAGAGGTACGTGTCCTCACTGAATAATTTAAAATATGCATACATATTTAAATTAATGTCAATATTATTTTATCTTAAAAAACATATAATAAGAAAACAAACAACTGTATATATACAAACACAAATTCTAACTAAATTTCTCATCTTTTTTTATATAACAACTACTGTGAGGAGTTATAGGCAATTTTTCATTTCCTAAACGATTATAATTATATCATCAACAAAAATACAAACAAGCAAAAAAAAAATTTCCTAAAAAAAGAATAAAAACAATTAACTGCAAACTGCAATCCATTATACACCAAAGTGTATGGTACGATTATTATACATCATTTTATTTATTGTAATAAAAAATAAAAATAGTTGTACTCATGTGGGGTTATATAGACGCATAATGAGTATAAATAGAATCACTCTTTTTTTTTTAAATTTATGGACTACATTTTTACAACTACTCATATTTAATGTTTTCCATATATTTATTTAACATAAGAACTAATTTTAACCTATTATTATTATTATTTTTAGTTTGGAAACTAAATTTAGTATAACTTCTAAGAAAAGAGTCCATTTATAGAGAAAGAAGATAGTGCGGGGACATTTTATGAGACAAAGTCAACAGTTTCCATCTAAAATTTAACAAATGGACCATTTATGAGATTTTTTTAGAGTTTAGGGACTGTTTATGAGACAAAATTGACTACAAGAATTAATTCTATCATTCATAAATTTATTCCAAAAATATATACAAAATAGGAAAACTTCAAAGGTTCATACCCCATTCGTTTTGCTCATTTAAGTTGAAAATTTTAGTTAAAAAGTGAATTTATATAAGAGAAAATATTATAGCTAAAAAAGTTGAATTTAAATTTTTATAAGGAAAAATACTATAGTAAAAATTTGAGATGTGAGTCAAACTAACAAAATGAATAGGTTCGTTTTGCCTTTTACACTTTATTCTCTGAGCTGGTAGAACTATGCGTTGGTGTGCATAGACTTCTTGGAATTGTTGATTAGAGCTTGGATTAATCTGCTTTCTTTTCCAAATCGTGGCTCTATTAAATTCTGAAAATAGCATTATAAGGGAGCGTGGAGACTATTAGAGTGTGTTTGGTATGAATATTCGTGTTATGGTTCGAATTATGGTTTGTTGCTTGCTATAATATTTTCTCTCTTAAAAAATACACATAAATCAAGAATGATTCTGAATCATAATTTTTATTTTATTCATCAACAGAGAGCACGATGAAATGTCATAAATAATGTAATAGTATGGTGGAGATCATTCACTCATTTTGTGGATAAATTGTAGGGTTCTTAATGCCTCATTCATTTCACCGATTCGAGTTTTCAATTTTAGGTTTTTACAGAAAAAAATTCTCAGAAAATGTCACATCTAACTTTTTTTGCTACAGTGAAATGTTCTCAGAAAATGTCACATCTCAGTTCAAATTGAAAACTTGAATCCGCGAAGTGAACGATGCCTAAATATTACCACTTGGTACACACGTGACAAAAAGAATAGAGAAACTGTAAAAAAATGGTGCAAAAGGACAAAACAAATAAAATAAAATAGAAGTTTGATCCTCGTTTTTTGCACTTTATCCTTACAAATAGTGAAGTTATATGTTCGACGTGCATGAATTTTGTGAAAGTTATGGATATACGCGCTTTTTTATCAAATTTCAAAATCGTGTTACGTGAGAGAGTATAAAAAAGACAACATTCATTCTTGTTTTTATTCAGCAAAAGAAAAGATATATATATATATATCTTTTTTTTCACCTGAGACCATGACACAAAATCCTATGTAATAAGTAGATAATGCATGTGAATCCAAAGTAATTGTTTTGGTTTACTCATTGTTAATCTATAGCTGTGTAAATGAAATGACCAGAGTGAAAAAATAAAATTAAAAAAATAAAAGCAGCTTTTCATCTTGGACAACCGACAACCTAAGATTTTTCTGGACCTACAATTGAAAATCTTTGTAGATCTTCTTGGCTGGACGAAGAGGAGGCAGAGAGAATCATAGAAATCGTGTGGGTTTGGCCTCATGTCTCTTGATTTTACGTTGCCACTTGCCAATATATTTATTTATTGGATTTAGAAAGTCATATATATCTTCTATGGCCTTGGTTTTTACTGGTTTGATGACAATTTTCCTTAAACATGTTTTTTTTTTTCTTTTGAGTTTCTTGGTTTTTTTTTTTTTTAATCTGCCACTCTGACATGATTAGCACTGCATGTTCTTGTTAGCTTTATTGTGTTGGAATTTTCGGAATTACAAATAAAAACGAACGTGATAGATCGTACCTCTAATCATAACAATCAGATTTAACAGCTTGTCGAAAACAATTTTGGGAAGTTTGGCTAGTAGATACAAGATTTAACATCCATGAAAAGATGGAATCTGATAGACACTTTTGTAGACTAGAGATCTATTCCGTCTAATATTTTTAACACACACACACACACACATATATATCTATATATCTATGTGTGGGTGTTTATGGCTTGGTTTTATTTTTGGCTTTCACGTTTTTTAAGAAAAAAAAATAAAAATGATAGAGAAACGGCGCATGCGTAATTAAAGATAAAAAATAAAAATAAAAATAATTTTTTAATTTAGTGTAAAATATGAGAGAAATGAAAAACGATTTTTAATCGTTTTTCATTTTTTGTTTCCGTTTTCTCCTCTCTTGAGCACAGAGAGTGATAGAGAGACCTTAATTGATTTTTTATACTGAAAACAATCTCTTGATAAAATTACCAAACGCATTTTTAAAAATGATTTCAGTCTGAGATTGAAAACATTTCTATTTCTATTTTCATACAAAAAATAAAATTATTTTGGAACAAGTTCCAAACGCACCCTATGATTCCCTGTTACAAATCGAAGTAAATAGGCAGTTACTTCAACCATGTCCCTCACGTTTTTAATAAAAATAAGATAATGGAGTCGACGTATCAAACAATAAATTTTTTAACAAAAGAAAATGATTAAAAGAGTGATGTTAACGTTTAAATGAGCAGTTACTTCAACCAGCATGTTCCCATGTTTTTAGCGAGACTACCTTTAATAGGTTTTAAATTTCAGTTTTAAATATTAGTAGTGAGCCACAAACTGAATACATTAGGTCCTGCTCATTTTACCGATTCGAATTTTGCTACAGTAAAAAGCTCTCAGAAATAATCACATCTAACTTTTTTGCTACAGTAAAAAATTTTCACATAAAATTACATCTCAACTCAGATTAAAAATTTGAATCAGCGAACTAAACAACCTTTATATATTAACTAAACGTTTCTAACACTCTCACACTTGGCTCCTTAATCCCACAACACTTACCAATTTTAAATTAATACGTAAACATAACTTCCCAGTCATTTGACATCTTTGTTTACTAAAAGCTATTAAAACAACAACACCCAATCAATAACTACAAACCAAAGTTGATTTAAAGAAAAAACAAAATGGCACCCTCAATTGATTGTCTCTTAATGGTAACTTTTCTGTAACATGTTGGGGGTCCCATATGTATCTACCTGAGGTTCTGAACCCCCCCTTAGATTCTCCAGGAGCAATAAAAGTTGGCAGTGCAACTAGCAATGTATTAGCACCCACCGCGTTATGATAGAGCAACGTTAGTTCTGCAGTATGGGGCCTATAAGTAGAGTCCGCTTTTTATTAGTGGTGGTGTTGAATACCGCATTCTTCGTTATGATAACTTGAGAGTGTCCACACAAATGTTTCAATTATTACCCATGAAAGAGTTTATTTGACCCTTCAACCTTTGATGTTATAAAGCTACTTTGCCTTCTGAGATTATGGTGCAAAATGAAGTTTGTGGGCATGATTGAAAAGAGCAAAATGAAAGCACACATTAGAGGCCAAAACCTTTTTCTATGTATACCTTCTAGTGGAGATAATAACAATGATTGAGAGGATTGGATAATAGTACTAGTCATGACTTTCCTCCCATATATGATTCTCTTTTTGGTCTATGATTTTGTGCATGAGTGAAAAAAAAAAGTTGATAAATTTTACCATTGATTGAATTTGAAAAATTTGGGAGCAGCTTTTTAGTAAGGACACCTAAAATCTTAGTGGACCAAGCCAAGATCATGAATGGATCTTATTGGGAGGAAAAGGGAGAAGGAATCTTGTGGGACAAAGCAGGTGTGAAACAATTGTTATGGTATTTTGTTACATGTTATTTTGTCCTAGAACAATCAATGCCTAATCTGACCATGTGCTCAGTGCACTCAAGGCAGAGGCCAAGTTGACGCTGCTTCAAGATCTAGTCAATGGCTCATGATTTTATCTTTATGTGGTCTTCATAATACTAATACACATGATAATAAAAAGAAAAAAAAAAAAAAACAAGAAAACACACACACACAAACACTGGTTTTGTCATGCTTGGATGCATTCAATAAAGTGGGAACCAATAATTTTTTTCATCTTAATGGCAATTTCACACCATGAGCTTTTTGTGACATGTTCTGATTGAGCCAGGCCGTACTACTAACATTGAATAAGGTCCTTTATTGGTATCTATGTGATATCAATTCAATAACAATTACTTAAAAGGAACTTCATGAAATAGTGCCATGTTTTTCATTAGTGTTATTTGACATTAATGGTGTTGAGCATCATTACTATACAGTAGAGTCGAATGGGTCCTATATATGGTACCTATACATGCCGACTATCTTATTGTGAGAAGTAGTGTCAGACATCACTCATATCGTTTATTATTTTTTTATATTCTTTAAATATGAACACTGGGAGGCGAGTTTGTGAGATCGCTAATTTTTTCAAAATCCAATCCAACTTATAGGCAGGATCAATGTACTTAAATTGGTATAAGTTCCATGACTATGAGACATGCTTGCTCATATTGTTGTTGTCGTCATCACCGTCGTCATTGCCGCCGCCGTGGTTATTAGTCATATACTAGCATTGTTGTTGTTGTTGTTACTGTTACTGTTATTTTACCAGCTTCCCCCAGGAGAGAAATAGTACTATTTCTGTTTCTTGGTTAATATGATGTCCTAAATTTGCACTTCATTAAAGTATATGTTGCCTCTATCTATATACAAGCTTCTCTGAACCTACACAAGGATCGTATTGAGTACTAAAATACACAATTATTATACCTACCCTGCAGTGTTCTTGGCAAGCAAAGAATCTAACTTGGTCTGTGTCTTTTTGTAATCTCAGATACAATGGAATTGTCTTTTCTACTCAATGCAAGAAGATCCCATTACACAGTTAGATTGAATCTTGTGATTCAGATTTCTATAGTACAAGATATTGACACATGCTTCATTGTTTCCTTCAGTCATTTCAGTTTGTGCACATAATTCATTGAGCATTTCCATTCATTCCAAAGTGATCAAACCCCGCTACCCAGATAAGGTGAGTCTCAACCTAATAAGGCCTACCTTTTTGTAAGCGATAGGGATGAATACTATTTTTTTAATTTATTTGATGACAGACAAATGTAGTACAAATGATACTGCCACAATTATTATGCAAACTTTTCTTCCTCCAATCCATTATTTTTACTTCTTTTTTTGAGAAAATTTCAAAGCATACAATTTCATATACCGCAATTTGGATTCACTTTACATCATCCCCAAAACAGAAATTTTTACCAAGACCAAGTTGTTAGTTGTTGTGGTAAGCTTTAAGCTTAGCACAAGAATTATGAAACTAACAAACAAACTTTTTTTTTCCCCCCCTTTTCTTTTCTTTGAATTTTTTTGGCTTCATTTTCAACTAAACAGTTGACTTCCTAGAGTGATTGTGGCAGTGCCTTCTCCCATGACTGTTGTTATTGCCATTTCTTTCTCTTGAATTCGTTCGAGCTCAAGCACGACCGTTGCCATCTTTGGTCGCCTTTTTCCCGGAAAGCTCATGCATTGCAGTGTCAATCTGATCAAATCCCTCATTCCCTCCATTGTGAAGCTCCCGGATAGTCGGTGGTCCACGAAGTTATTTATGCTCAGCCGTGATTCCACCTTCACAAAAGTCATACCAAGCAAGCAACAAAAGAAGCAGCCAAAAAAAAACGTTTTGAGTTTAAGCTTACAAGTAAGGGTAAACTGGTCTAGCTATGTCTTTGGAAAAGGAAAAAAAAAGAATAAAAAAAAGTTTGTTTCTTTAGCTAGTTACTAGACAGGAAGAATAAAACAAATCTGTCTGCTTATAGCTGCTTAGCTAGACAATGCTAATAATGCATACAGTATATAGTATATACCACCTTAGATTATGTTTCATTACTTGAGAAGTTTTTTTCTTTTCTTGTTTTCCAAGTTACCATCTTATTACGCAATTGACAAGTAATCTACTTACCCATTGGACTAAGCTCTCATTGGATCCCAAGATTTCATTGCGCAACGCCTCCTGTCCAGTCACTAGCTCTAGAAGAAACACCCCAAAGCTGTACACATCACTCATTTCTGACGCGAACCCAGATGTCCCCACCCTAGTGGTTGAAAATTGTGACCAAATTGGAATATTAATGAGACAAAAAGAAAGAGAGAGCTACGTTTCATAATGATGAACAAAACTCCAATCAGAAGAAATTTAAGTTTTACTCTGGATCTTGGAAAACATTCACACTAGATGCGCGGGATGGACCTGCTTCTTCGATCTTCTCGAGCAGTTTTGAGACCCCTGCATCTGCAACCTTGGCAATGAATTCCTCATCAACCAGAACGTTGGCTGTCTTGAAGTTCCTATGCACCATGGGAGGCTTCAGGCCGTGCAAGTGGCATAAACCTGCATTAATTGTTTATCAATCTAGTAATACTACATAACCAACTAACGTGCCATTTGAGTTGCCGCATTTTAACTTAAGAATACTAATACATTTGTTTTAGAGTTACATCTCATGTATTGAAGTATGTCAATTCATTTGACACATCAGTTGGTATTAAAAAATTAGGAAAAAAAATGGTATGTTTATCATCATTCTTATCTATTTTCTGACATGGGCTGTATACCTTTGGCTGCCCCTAGAGCAATGGATATCCTTTGCTTGAACTCTAGTTTAGTTGGAGGATCTTTTCTAGTATCTGTCAAAACCAATGAGGAAAACATATTTTTACCTTTGTAAAAACCCCATTACTTAACAAACTTCTCAAAAAAGTCATATTGTCATACCATACAAGTGATTGCACACGCTGCCATTTGGTAAATATTCAAAAACCAACATTTGGTATCCACTTTCCTGGCAGTAACCGAGTAGAGTAACTAAATTTCGATGATGTATCTCCGACACAGAAGCTACCTATAAATTCATCTTGAGCATGTCACTAATTATGTTATGAAATGCTTATAAATTCATAATGTACAACACATATATGGATCATTTATAAGATATTATCTGTGGTTCTTAGTCATATTACCTCTTCAGCAAATTCCTGTCCAGGCGCGCCTGCTCGCCTTTTGACAGCCACAGTCCCATCATGGAGAAACCCTTTGTACACAGAGCCAAAACTTCCATATCCTATGAGATTGCTCTCATTGAAGTGCTTAGTGGCTTTCTCCAATTCCTCCATTCTGAATTGCCTCGCTCCAACCGGCCCAAAAGGAGGCTGCGCCACGCCTGATGAACTTGGCCCTCCTCTATTCCACTCCGCTACCAAACATCGGAAGATACCAATCAATGACACTTACCAACAAACAATGTGAAATGATTTCAGAACTTACCTAGTGCAGATGGATCTGAGGAACCTGTTTCTGAGTTCTTGTTCGACAACTTTCTGCAATGAAACTTGCATAACCACACAAGTCCTAAAACCGCCGCGAAAAATACGATTGCCCCGGCAGCACCTCCAATTATGGTGACAATTGGCTTTGACATGTCTCGAAGTCTTCAGGTCTTCCACAACAAAACATAAACATCGAATCTTGGAAGCAAGAATAGGCTCAAAACTGAGTGAACAAGATCAACCCAGTTATTCGATCCAAACAAAGCTTAAATTTCGGCATGCAAAAGCTGCATAGAGAATCCAAGAGCAGAAGAAAGAAAAGCTCCAAAATGGTCCTCTCTTGTGTTGCAATAATATTATTTGAAACACTGTCTGGGTGCTTGGGTGCCGACAAACTGCTCATAAATGCTGACTTGCTGATCTCAAGTCTCTATTTAAGGAACAAGCATTTTGGTGGAGGTTAATGCTGTTGAAAATCTAACACACACACACACGCGCAGAGAGAGAGAGAGAGAGAGAGCAGAAAGACATTGCATAAATTGGTTTTGCCCCACTTTGCTGTCAAGCATTCATGAGCAATCTCACACTAGAGAATCTGATCCCAACAAATGAAGAACATCTTGTCCTTGGCAAAAACCAACACTTGTATTTTTTATTGGTTTGATGGGTGTGTGTGTAGAATTGAAGAGAAGGGTTGGTTTTGGTTTTGAAAGAAAGTAGAAAAATCATCAAGAAGCAGAAGATATATCATTAACCTTTCTCTTACTGCTGATAGACTTAAGGCTGGTCTAGATTTGGCATTGCTCAATTTAAGAAAGGAAAGTTTCATATATAGATGTTCTCTGTACTTCCAAAAAGAAAATAAAAAAAAAAAAGAAAAGAAAGAAAAGTAAAGTAAAAAGAAACAAAAACCAAAAAAACAAACCTATGCATAAGAAAAACTTCTGTATTATGCACACTTTCATGTAGATCCCACTTAACATACAAAAAGATGATTACCTTTGATTATTTACTTTTGTTTCTGCTTAGGATTGAAATGGATCATCATTATAAATATTCAAATTAACAACCAGAAAAAAAAAAAAAAAAAAAAAAGATGCTTTTTTTCTAGTTTTTACCAACTGTAAAAAATTGGGAAAAAAAAAAAAAAAAACTATAGTTTGTTCATATAGACAGGTGGGAAAGTGACTTTAATCAGGCTGACAATTGGGAAGACATAATTATTGAAAGGGATCAAAAGAAAAGGTAGTTATCACTCCATCAATTCGAAGTCCTCTCCTATTACCTGATTCACTCTATCTGCCTTTTTGCCTCTTTTTTGTCATCTGATCTGGAAAGAAGGAGAGCAAACTTTTCCCATTTTTTGTATACAGAAATGAGACTGTTCCCCTTAATGGGGTCATGACAGCTTAGCAAAAACAAGACATTACCTCAGCAGGTTTTTTACAGTTTCAACTATCCTTGGTTTTTCATCATCTCAAAAAAATGAATATATACACATAATATGTGTATATATATTTTATGTCATCCTTTTGGAAAATTAAAGTACTAACCAAACCCCCCCTCTCCTTCTTGCCTGCATTTCTGGTGTTGCTATAAATACACACTTATATTTCTTCATATATTTATACACACACATGCATGTACTATTCATATATATATGTGTGTGTGTGTGTGTGACTGGTTGAGCTTTGAACAATGGTGGGGAAGATTATTGAGCTGTAACTCTCTCTCTCTCTCTCTCATTTATTTATTTTGTTTGCCTAGTGATATTTGTAGGCTTCCATGTTTGGCTGGAAAGCAGAAGGGCATTGGTGGAAAGGAGGTTGTCATGTTGTTCAGGACTAAATAGGCTGGATTTATATACCATGCATACATCAGAGGCCCAATATGTCAGAAGAAAGGCAGGTTATAAGAGAGAGGGTGTGTACATGTAATATTATATGCTTTTGTTATGATCTTTTTAGAGGACCATACTTTCACATAACATATAAAAATAATAAAAATAATAAGCATAAGTTGATATTTATTTTACGTGATATTAGTTTAAATTTTTTTAAAATTATGTGTATCCAACGTCAATATTATGTTGAGTTGAATAAATATCACGTTGTGTTTTTTTACTTCTATGTGATATAATAGAAGTATGATATTTCCATATAACAAAGTTGAAATTCTCAGGGGCAATCTTATTTACATGAATCTGCCAAAGGTCTGAGCTTGTGGCAGCAAAATTGAGGGATGTTTTTCTGCTTTTACAGATTACAAAAAAGATGCCCTCCCTTTTTACCCTTTATTATTTTTCTCTTTCTTTCTTAAGCAAAATGTGTAAAGAAAAAAAAAAAAAAAAGAGAAAAATGTGTAGAAACTGTAAAACTATGTACCAGGGGGCCGGCACAAGGTGACCACTGGTTTTAAAGTTTCTGAAAATCTCTGTGGGGGAATCTATAGGACTGGAAAGCTACACTCCTGTTGTCAAAGATCGATCAAAGCCAATGTAAGTTGTATTGGCATTTTACTGGTTTATATCTGTTGGGTATAAATTTCAGATCTAATGTAATATATATAGGGGGGGACCATTTTGGACGTGTTATTTCTGAGACTGCTTTTTTGGCTGGGATGGACTTAACAACAAATGACTTGATTTCTTTTCTTGGTCATCATATAAGATCTTTCAAACGTGATTTTCATTTTTAAAATCACTTCCATGTTTCAAGAATAGTTTGTTTTATCTTTTCAACTTGTACTTAAGAAAAGCCTTTTTTTAAGTGTTTTTATGTTCATATACAGTTGTTACCAAGTATAATTTAAGACATCCTTTTTGTAATTCTTGTGGGGATTAAACCAAAAAAATGGTCCCGAATTTGACATCAAATCCCTCTACAGTCTATGACATTTAAAACGTTCGAAACATGCACTAAAATCTAAATAAAAAGAGAAAATTTATAAAGTGATTAAATAATAGATAATTCAGTGACCTTCTCAAAGCAACATTACTAATTTCAGTAAGGATTTAGTATGATATTCATATTTTATTATTGGTATATTCTGTCTATTTTTCCTCTAAATGCATGTTATAACATTTGCATGGGGGCTCCAAAAGCATTCACAACTTAATAACACGTTGATAATCCAACTGCCCGCATTTGAGATTTATTTTCTATCACTCTTTTAAAATCAACTATAAGAAGGACCAATTTCGTCACACCAAAATAAGTCGGATTAATTTTGAGACGTTTTATATGTACCTCGGCAGTATTTGGTGTAAAATTTTGATACCAGTTCTGAGATGTTTTTTTTTTTTTTTTTTTTTTTGGTCTTTAACAGATCAATGGGGTCTGAAACACTCATATCTTGTCTAAACTTGAATTGATATATCTAGAATCCATAGAATGAGTAGATCTATCCGATACATACATGCATACATATATATATATATATATACATGGTGCTTTCGATCCAACTCAGCATGTCAGGCATCTTTTTATCGCAAGTCTCTGAATTTCCATTCTCATGGCCCCACTCCATCCCTGCAATGTTTCTGCAATAGCACTGCACAATAGGCCGTACTACTGCTAAATTTCACATCTTCAACCTATTAGAACAATAAATAAGAAGATCTAAAGTTTGTTAAACTCAATGATAGTATTCAAATTCTACGTGGGTGTTGTTAATAATGCAGCATATTTTTACAATTTTACAACTATATTACCACGTGGGTTTTTGTTGATACACATAAAATATATTACAATATTGGCCTACGATATGTTGTATGAGCATTATTATAAGGTACCGGTGGTGCTAAGCACCATTCACTAATAAAAGATGAGTTTTATATTATGGGACTCATAAATACAACCCACTTTTTATTGGTGATGACGTTTATAATCAGTGGTGCTTCTAAATATTTTTCATGTTGTATATATAATTAAGGCAGTGTTTTCATTTAATATTCCAGAATATACCAATATCATATAACAAACAATTCATTATAATAAATAAATAATGTTTCTTACTGTTAATACCTGAATTCGCACCAGGCCCATTAAGAGTTCAGGCTTAATCCTTTGTGTCACGCGACACCATTGGGCTCGTTTCGTAGACTCAAGTCACACTCGGAGAACTCATATGAGTTGTGATTTGGTGGACCATGAGTGATCACGTAGGCCCATTTGTCCTTAATTTGACCCAATTAGAAACCCGCTTAGGTTATCTGACACTTTTCCTCCGAATGGGAATGCTCCGACACCCGTTGCCGTTTCTTCCATTCCATAATCTTCCATTCCATTTCCGGACCATATCTTTGTCAAACTAAGAAAGGCTCATGATAGACTTTTTCCAAATGGAAATGAGTGTTCAGACCTCCGTCAGAACAACTGTGAAGCACTCCCATTTACTCCTATAAATACCCCTCACCTTCTTCATTTCATCACCAACACACCTGCACATCAAAAAACACATCAGAGTGCTGAAATTCTCCATTTGAGTGCTTTCATTGAGTCTTTTGCTACAAAGACTTGGAGTCTTCTTCAAGTTCTTGAGGAACTTCATAGTTTCTAAGTGTTGACCTCCTTAGAAACCCCTCAAGAATACTTTTTAATCCTCTTCCAATACCACGTGAGAGTGTTCTAAGAGTTATCTTCATACTTTCCTGAAAGTATTCAAGCCTCCAACCTCGGAGTCACTCTCGTCTACCGTCAGAGGGAGTGCTGTCTCCACGCTCTCAGAACAACTTGCATTTGCTTTCGAAGCTCTTTCACCAGACTCCTACGTATCATTTTCTACATCAGCGCCTTATACACCAGCAAAGCTACATATTCAAAGCCTCCAAAGCAGCTCGAAAACTGCTTTTGGAGCCCTTCTCCATCAAAAAGCTTTATCCACCTCTCAATTCACCTCCTCCATCAACTACGTGATCACTCCTCCCACCATTATTTATTCGCGAAGTTCTTCATTATTATTTTTTTTTGGATTTTCTAACATTTTTTTTCAGGAATGTTTTCATGATTTTAGCAATGAAGAAGGTCCTAGAACACGTGTTCTTCGGCCTAATTTGGGCCTAAGCGAACCACACAACCGTTGGAGGTCCTACCATCGTTGTCTACTTCAAAGGCCCATTAAGTACTTTAACAATATTAGAACCGCCACCAACGAGTCAAATACTTACACATGCACATCATCGCCGCGTCATACCTTTCAGATCTACCGGACCCCGACACTTACCACAAAATCTCCCATATTTAGATAAGAAATGTGATTGTGGAAAGTTGCAAAGAGCTTTTTGTGACTAGGGTGCCGGTTTTGAAGGATTTCCACATGGGTGTGGGGGCAATTATTCCAAGAAGGGACTTGTGCCCTAGACATAAAAAAGTGTTTCTAGTCCTATTAATGGCTTTAGGATTTACTATGTAAGATTAGACCTTTCTTTACCACAACTTGCATTTACTTTATGTCCTCTCCAATCTCCATCCAATATTTTTAAAATAGCAAAAAAATGAATGGGGAATTTGTCATGTATTGCATGTTGTTCAATGGCCTTTTGTCGTCAAGTAGTACGTATGGATTCCAAAAGAAAAAATAATTGTAATATTAGTGTAACAATATTAATGATACCATTAGAAAAATGACACATACATGAAAAATTATTCATGGCATCGTGAAATTGAAATATAACTTGTTAGTAGTGAAAAGATTAGGACGAAACAAAATTTTAGTTTTACAAAATTGTGACGCATGCAAGATGATATTCACATTGCTCTAATAACTAGAATAGAAAGCCTATATATAAATATGTGTATATATATATAAGCCTATATATAAATATGTATATATATATATATATACATATATATACATATACGAGTATGTAGGGACAAACATTATGATACCAATAAATCAGCTAAACAACAACCAAAAATAGTACTCTTATATCGTTATCTAGTTAGATGGATTTGATGTGAAAATGAAAATTCTATTTGGTTATTCCAAAATTTCTATTTGATACTCAATCTGCTAAATTAAAGCTCTAAAACAAATAGTTAGGCATCGCTATTAATTTAGACATAATGACGTTATCATGAATTGAACAATATAATTGTGCTCCAATACTAGTTAAAATACATATCGAGATATGATATTTAAGCCATGTTCATTTCACCGATTCGAGTTTAGAATTCGAGTTTCACTATAGTAAAAAAACTCTCAGAAACAATAGCATCTAATTTTTTTACTACAGAAAAAAAAACACACACATAAAATCACATCTCAACTCAAATAAAAAACTCGAATCAGTAAACTAATAAGACGTTTGGTTCATGAATTATAATCATGTGATTAGAACTATTTTTTATTTATGTGTATTTTTTATGAGAAAAAATACTATAACGAACTATGAACTATGATTCTTCTAATCAAACATTCAATAAATGGTCCTAAAACTTTCAATACCTTGTTTCTACATTTGATTAGAAAGAACATACCAATATAAAATGGTAGGTGTACCTAACGAGATGTTTGTCTTTCTAGGGAAATGAGATGTTGACTGCTCAATGGGAAACTATGATAAATCGTTAAGAAGTCCAATCAAGCAGCGTGATTCAGATTCAAATGAAAAATAAGCAGTCCTGCCAGTTTTTTTTAACAATAAAGTAAGGAAGTTTATCGAATAACTAAAAAAAATAAACTATCGGTAGATTCTTATTTTTTAACTGTTTAATTTATAATAAAAGTTATTAAACCAAAATTAATATTTAGAAACTGACTCTATCTGAGTCTAAAGGAGAAAGTATGATAAAATAAAAGGAAAGTTGGATATGAGATTGTTAACCTCAATTCCTTCAAGGTTAGTGTTATGAAAATGCAACAAGTTTAAATCACTATGCCTCAACTAGCATGTTAGGAACTAAAAAAAAAAAAAGGGTGTAGATTGTTGAGAAGAAGAGGCTCTAAGTTCTAATTACTTAAAATTATGTTGCATTATAGTTCAACTTATTTTTAACACAATAATAAAAACGCCACGAAAAGTGGGTCCCATATACCGCTTCAGGGGGCTAGTCACAAACAAAAATTGAGCTAACTAACCACTCCATAATCAAGTGGTCTATCTTGGCACCGCGAGTAAGTAGGTTTAAACAACCTTCATTTTAATGACGACTCGAATTTGGGTTCTGGACGTGGTAACAAGTGTTTGCTCTGATATTAATTATCTTTTTGGTGGAAAAAAAAAATACAGAGGATTAATGAGCCATAGCTACCTTTGAGTGTGACCAAAAGGGGGGCACACTAATTAATGTGTGCATTGAGTCATATCTATTTGTATTGTGAGACAAAACAAGTCATCTTAACCCCATTAAAGACTAACGAATGTGAACATTTGGTTAATGGATTCAGAATCATGATTCAGAATTATTTTCGTTTTACGTGTATTTTTTGTGAAAAAAATACTGCAGTGAACTACGAACTATGATTCAAATCATGACACGAATACACTAACTAAACGCACGATAAATCGGCAGCGTGAAAAAAGTCTCAAGCGCTTCCCCCTTGTTACATACTCTAACTATTCATCGCAAAAGACCTGTTAAGAGGAGGAAGGCTAATTATTTATTTATAGCTCGCTTGGTATATGAGTTCAAACCATGGTTTAAACCAAGATTCTTAATTATGATTTTTGAAATTCAAATTTTTTGTGAGAAAAAAACACTGTAGCAGAACATACATTAAGGGCTTGTTCTTTTGGAGTTTAACTTGAGTATAATTCTTGAGTTTGTGTTTGGTTGTATACATTTGAGTTATGATTTGAGATAAGAATCTTTTTGAGTTTGTGTTTGAGCGAGTCAAAACTTAAATTTGTATTTAGATAATATTTTAATAAAAACTCAATGCTGATGAAAAATTTTAATATGATATATGGGTCGGGTTTTATTCGTATTTTCGTTGTCAACGCATAGAAAAAAAATCATCTCAATCAAAATTAAAACGAAAAAGTTATAGCATTTTTAAGAATATAAAAAATATTGTTCATTTAAGTTTGAGTTTCTGAACTCGAGTTGAAGGGGAAACTTAAACTCGAGTTTTAGTCATAAACTCGAGTTTGAACTCGAGTTTAAACTCAAGTTTAAACTTAAAAGAACATGAACTCGAATAAAGTTGTAACTCGAGTTGTAATTGAACTTGTAACTTGAGTTTGTGTTTAGTTGTGTACATTTGAGTTATGATTTGAGATAAGAATCTTTTTGAGTGAGTCAAAACTTGAATTTGTATTTAGATAGTATTTTAATAAAAACTCAATGCTGATGAAAAATTTTAATATGATATATGGGTCGGGTTTTATTCGTATTTTCGTTGTCAACGCATAGAAAAAAAATCATCTCAATCAGAATTAAAACGAAAAAGTTATAGCATTTTTAAGAATAGAAAAAATAATGTTCATTAATTTGAGTTCGAGTTTCTGAACTCGAGTTGAAGGGGAAACTTGAACTCGAGTTTTAGTCATAAACTCGAGTTTAAACTCGAGTTTAAACTTAAAAGAACATGAACTCGAATAAAATTGTAACTCGAGTTACTTTTTTTTTTTTAGTTTTTTACTCAAAAGAACAAGCCCTAAATTTTTAACTTTTAATAATATGCATTGCAAAAAATCCCACCCAAAAAAAGGAAAAGAAAAGAAAAAAGATGGGAAGAAGCACAATTACTGAAACCATAGAGGAGGTATTCGTAAATTGAAAAAACTTATGGGAGCTCTATTTGATTTTAAGCAAAATCCATTACTGACTAATCGGAAGTTCACCGACCAGAGAGAGAGAGGGGTTTCGAGCGGAGTTAGATTTGAACCTCTGGTTTCTAGGGTTTCCTTTTCTTCGCATTTTGTGAAGATAATTTAGGGTTCTGAGTCTGTCCGAGTTGATTGAGCTGGGGGACTCGGCGACTCGGCCATGTACAGTGGTTCGAGCGATGGGGAAAGCCACGAGGCGGTGGCGGCGGCGGCGCAGAGGAAGATCCCGCCAGCTTCTTCCATGCCGTGGGTCCGAAACCTCCGCAGATACATCGGATCAGGCGTTGGACTTGGACCCGAGGCTCTGATGGGTATGCACAATTCTATGTCCACGATTCTTTTCGAGAATTTGGTTTATTTTGTTCGTAGAATTTCAATTTGGATACTTCTAGGTGACAGCTTGTTAATCTTCGGTGAAGTTAAAAATCGGTGTTTTAAATTTCCTTTAAATTTCAATTTGGATACTTCTAGACGTCTTAAGGTTCTTGGATTGTAAAGTCTTGCCTTTATTTCTTAACAAAGAAAGATAGTGCATGGTGAATTCTGAGTGTTCGTCTTGTTCGTTCGGTGCATACTTGAGAATCTGCTCCGAATTTCAAGTGGACTTAGGGTTGATCATTTGGTTTTTGGTAGATTCATACGTGTGTGAGCACACACTTTTATCTTTGAGGGAACCCATTTTGTTTGAATGTTAGAGACTACAAACTCTTTTTGGTTTCTAGCTTCCATTAATACACTACACTCTACAGTTATCTCTTATGCAAAACAGACTTGGTCTTTTTGCTTTTTGTTATTTTTGGAGAAATGTAAGTTGGGTGCGTGTGCAGATTGAGTCTCATGTTTTAATTCACAATATATCTAAATTTTTATCTCCCACTTTTGAAGAGCTCGAAACAAAGAGAATCTTGCTGGATATTTTCAAAGAGAAGCAGCAAAAAAGTGCTGCAGCGGGCACGATTCCAAGTTTCTATAAGAAGGCATGTATTAGTATTGTGACTTAAACTGAATTGCTAAGCTATTACCATATGGCGTGGATTTATAAGCCAATATTTGCTTTTACTCCGCCTTTGGAAAATCAAAAGTTGTGTTTTCTTTTGTTTCAGAAACCTGAAGAAGGATCTATCAGTAGCAAAGTCCAGCGACTGGCAAAATGTCGTTTTTTAAAGGTATTGTTTGGGTTTGTGTCTTGCTTACTCTGTTATTTATTTATTTTTTTGGGTTGCTCTGATCTTGCTTACTCTTGTGTGTTTTTATCTTTCAAAGTGTTTGGGGTGATGCTTGTCATCTGACACTCTTCCATTGTTTATGCAGAAGCAATCAGATCTTTTGCTAAATACTGATGATCTGGATGTAATGTGGGTTTGCTTGAGGGAAAATTGTGTGATAGATGATGCAACTGGGGCAGAAAAGGCAAGTAGCATACAGTTTTTTATTTTGATCTGTTACTCTACAATACTCAACGAAATTATTTGAGTTAAACGAATAAAAGATATTCTAAGTATGTCTGATACAGAGGCCAAAAAAAGATATTCTATTATGTATTGCTGATTCCTTGATGTTTTGCTTGGTATCCTTTTCTGCTAGACAATTTTGCTTGGGGGCGCGTGCTGCATTTCATGAACTGCGGATTCTATATTCTTTCTTCTTCTTCTTCCATTTTTTTAATGATCCTTCAGGGTGCGTTTGGTTGGGGGGAAAGGAAAGGAATGGTGTTGTATTTTGATGTTTGGTTGGCTTTTAATACTTTAAATAGCCATTCCACGTGAATGACTTTTCCACCGCTTTAGTGGAATTGTCATTACCACCTGAGATGGGAGGAAAGGCCATTCCCTGGGTTGATTAATTGTTTTTCCACGATTAACATTCCCACATTTCGTCCTAAAAATTACACCTTGGTTGATTTTCCTGCCCAAGGTCGTGGGCTCAACTTCTCACCCAACTGTTGGCACTCATCTCGTCGTCGTTGGCAAAGCTCTCCCCGTTCTCCTCCTACCCACACTAGTCTAAGCTCTATAGTTGTTCCGACGAGCCTTCCTCGCCCACGCAACCTTCCTCCGCCCTCACTGCCACATCGAAAAAGCCACCAGCCTTCTGCTTCTGACGGCATCTGTTTCTCCTGCCGCCTGAGCGCCGAGCTCGTCGCTTCTCCCTCCTCTGTTGCTAATCGCCCAGATCGGCTAGATCTAGCAGCTTGTCGCCCAGAAACGAGTAACGTAGAGCTCCCGAAGAGGGAGATGTTGAATGTCACCATCGCCATCTTGCTTCAAAATCTAGAGATAGAGTGGGTCTGAGATGTTTATCTTCTGTAATGGGTATAAGATGTTTTTTGTACATACGATTGTATTGGGTCAGTGATGAGATCGTTAGCACTTTGATGTCTTTCTTCTTTTATTAATTAATAATTTTAAGTGAAAGAAAAAACTTATCTGTTTTGATGTTTGAATGCTAAAGAAACGTTTTGATTTAAAACCAAAAAAATGTTCTCAAAAAATAAAAAACCAAAAAAGATGGATAAATTAACAGTAGTTGCATATAAACATATTAAAGATAGGGGTAGTTTTGTCCAAACAAAAATAGATACACTCCTTTTCATGGTATTCATAAAATTTTAACCAAACACAAGAATGTCCTTTCTTTTGCATTCTATTACCATTACCATTCCCATTACCATTACCATTCCCATTCCCATTACCATTACAATTCCCATTCCCATTACATTCCCCCACTGCAACCAAATGCACCCTCATATCTCAAAATTTTTATCCTGTGATGTAATGATAATTTATGATATCATATGTTGTACTTTATCATCTTAAAATAGACATTTACGTACTGATTCTAATAAGTTCTTTTCTTTTCATGTTGCAGATGAATTATGAAGACTTTTGCCATATTCAATCTATATGTACTGAGCAAATAGGCCCCAAGTGTAGGCGTTTTTTCAGCCCTTCAAATTTTATGAAGTTCGAGAAAGATGAACAAGGAAGAATTGCCATTCTGCCATTCTACCTTTATGTGATGCGAACGGTGGGCTCTTCAACAATTGGCTTATCTGAAAATTTTCTTTTATATGACCAAAGCATCAAAGTTGTTGCACTTGCTGTTGGTTTTTTACTAAAGTTCACAAACTGTGATTGTTAGTTGTTTTGCATAGGATTGCAGCTAACTATACTTTTCTGTTCAGGTTTCACTTACGCAGGCCAGAATTGATATGAGTGAGATTGACGAGGACTCTGATGGCTTCCTTCAACCACAGGTACTAAGTACTGACTTATTGTTGTGATGCTTTTTTGTTAGTTCTCACCTCTTATTCTCATAATAATATTTCCATCCATTTTCAGGAAATGCAGCAATATATACATGGTCTTATACCTAATCTAGCACAACTACGTGATATGCCTGCAGCCTTTGTTGGAACATATTGCCGCATAGCTGCACGGAAGTTCTTCTTCTTTTGCGACCCTCAGAGACGAGGTTGGTTGTTGTTTCATTATAAGTAGGGAAAATACCCTAAAAGTCCCATGGCTTGTTTGCCCATCTTATTATACAAATGTCTGAAATATCCCTTGTGATTTTAAAATGGTCCAAAAATTATCCTTTGGACCAGTTAAAATTTGAAAATACCAAGGCTAGTTTTACTCATCTATATTAAATACTTCTTTAAACATTAAATAACTAAAAAGTTAAATAAAGTAAATTTTAAAAATTGAAAGTATTAAAATTATAAAAATAATAATAATAATAATGACAAAGGAAGAAACCAAAAAGCTAAGTCCCCCCACCCTGACGGCAACGCAACCCCCTTCAAAAGGCAATGAATACTTTTTGATTAACAGCATTTATAGTTATAGGGAACAATCTAGACATTTGTATGAAAGAAGGGGCAAATGTGGTATTCTGAAAGAACATGGCAGATGTGTAGGGTATTTTTCCCTGTAAGAAATTGTTGTTAGTTTGAGGTATTATTTGAATCAGTAAATGCCCGTATTATTTTTTTTCCTGTTGGTTATTTTTTCTTAATTGTTAGCTGCAGTTTTTTTTCCATGATAATATTGCTCTGCTTTATCCTTGTGATTGTTTTGTTGATTTTGCGTTTAATAGAATTTGTCCATTTTTTCGCTTCTGGTTCTGCATAAGCTATTATTATTAAGAATTAAGACACCTTGGATCTAAACATTCAAAGTAAGAAAAAAGTAGCAAGATTTATCTTTCAAGTTGACTAGTGGAATTGTAGTTTTGTTTTACATCTATTGCTTGCCACAGCCCCTGACAATTAGTTCTGTTTACAGGAAAAGCCTGTATAAAGAAAATTTTGTTAAGTAACTGCCTACAAGAACTGATGGAACTGCACCAGGTAAATTTTTCTCATGACAAAGCAAACAGTAGTCTTTTGTACAAGGGAAAAAAGAAACGAAAGTTTTATCTTGTGTTGCATTTGCTATTTTTTTTCCGGGCTGCTTGAAAGTCTCTGTGCTGCAACTTCATTGAACCGTACTTTTGTTTTGTTTTGTTTGTTTTTTTTTTTTTTTCTTTTCCCTGTCAATCTGTACTTTATGTTTGTGTGTGTGTGTGTTTTTTTTTTTTTTTTTTCAAATTGTACTTTTGGCTGTAATGTTGTTTTAATGCTCTTCTAAAAACAGGAAAGTGAAGAAGAAGTCACTGATACCGAACAAGCTGAAAACTGGTTCTCACTGACATCTGCGCAGCGCATCTGTGGTGGGCACAATTCACATCCTTTGTTTTATTGCGTGTCTCATGGTTCCATTTCCGTCATCGTAACCTGTTTCTTTTTTTTTCCTAACTGGTCATTATTCAATGCTTGATATGTTTATGCTGCCTTTTAGGTTAGACATTTTGCTTTTTATTCAAGAAGCTTAATTTGGCTATCAGTGGATTAATATGATCGACTCCAAACTTCTTTCTGCAGACATGTTTCTTGCACTTGCTAAAGATATGAACGGAGGTCACGGAACATTGAGCAAGCAGGCGCTTCGTGAATATGCAGATGGGACACTAACTGACATTTTCATTGAGAGAGGTATGTGTGAATTAAATACCTTCTAGAGATGCTGGTCAGACCGTGCCAGTCAGTCCACCGTGTAGGGGTCCATCTTAGGCTGTGTCCCTAAGGGAACTGCTGTTGAATTCTCTATTGAATCTATGAGCTGAACTTGTGAAACTTCTGTATTCCATATAATGTATTTCTAGGAACTGCTTATGTTTGTATGCATTATTAGGTTTGTTATGTTTTATTCATTCTTTCCTTTCAATGTGTTGCCTATAGTTTTTGATGAACATGTTGGACGCGGCAAAGGTGGTGGGGCCAGTGCAAGGGAGATGGACTTTGAATGCTTTTTGGACTTCGTCCTTGCATTAGAAAATAAAGATACACCAGAAGGATTGACATATTTGTTTCGGTGTCTTGATCTTCAAGGAAGAGGTTATCTTACAACTGCAGATATCCACACTCTTTTCAGGTAAATAATCTATATTATTGCATTTAACTATTAGACGGTAATATTTTCGATTCTCTAGTTTGTTTACGTTGTTTGCTGGATTGCTAAAGTGGTTTTCAAAGAGGTTATTCTAATAACCATCTTCAAAGACCAGATGGGTTCAAGCCCAAATATGGAAGCAAAGAAGGGGAGCATCCAATAATTGAGATGTTATCTGATACGACCTTCCTACAGAGAAGCTCTGCTTTTTTCCTACTTGTAGTGCTTGAGCAAGTTCTACGAGTCTCAGATTGCCAGAGACATGAATCGCTTTTTTATTCCTAGAACTCGTTAATTATAGTTTCAGTCTGCAATGATATAAAACTCAAATTACTGTTTCATCTCAAATTTTCCCCCTGACAAGTTATGTTTTAAATTGTGTTATGAAAACTTTTTTTTCATGCATCATTTTCCTTACTAACATCATTTTAAATTGATTGATTGATTTATTTGTTTTGCTTGTGAAACAGGGACGTGCATCAAAAATGGATTGAAGGCGGGAACTATGAACTGTGCATCGAGGATGTTAGGGATGAAATATGGGACATGGTCAAGCCTGCAGATCCACTAAAAGTTACATTGGCTGATTTATTAGGATGCAAACAAGGTGGGACGGTAGCCAGCATGCTAATAGATGTGCGCGGTTTCTGGGCACACGACAACAGAGAAAATCTTCTGCAAGAGGAGGAAGAGCCTGAAGAAGAATGATGACTGAATTTCTTTCTTTTACTAACATGACTGGTTTTCTGGACCTTAACTTTGATCGTCTTATATTAATGTGTATGTTGATGTGATGTGCAAAATAGTGTTATATTTTTGAGTTATATATTAACAGTTTTGTGGTATTGAAAGTAATAAGACTCCGTTCATTTCACCAATTCGAGTTTAAAATTAAAATTTTGTTACAGTAAAAAATTCTCAAAAATAGTCATATTTAATTTTTTTTACTACAATAAAAAGTTTTCATATAAAATTACATCTCAACTCAAATTAGTGAACTAAACGGGTCTTAAATTCTTCAAATCCGGCTTCTATCTTTCTCATACACAATAGTAAAACTATACAAATGAATTAAGTGCATGTTCACAAAACTAAAAGGAAAAGATTTCTACTTTCACTGAAAAAAAAATGTCAATAATCCCAACCCCTGTTTTGTATTGTTGAATGTTTTCCGGTTAACTATTTATTTATGTACTTATCGACTCACCAATTATTCAACTATGCACAAAGATACTTTATGATACTTAAATTGACAAAATTTTTAGTTAGCAAATAGTAGAAAGAAAAATGAATTGCTGTCCGTTTCAAAAACAATTAAACACTGAGAAAAGCAATATAATTTAAACCAATTACTTTTCTTATTACGGTTTGATCTTTCTTCCCCTATCATGCCAAGTGCATTTAACACGGAATAAAAATGTTCAGATTTGCTCTTGTTACGAGACCATCCATTGCTCTTCACCATAAGGCCTTCCCCATTTTCCATGGGTTCCAATAAGCTCTTCCAAAGCTTGGAATGTGGACTGTTGAGCCTCCTTTAATTCCTAAACCAGCAAAGCTGATTTTTAGATTGCAAGCAAATTATCCTGCAAATTATTCTCCGCTCCCGCAAACGATCTTCATTTTGCTTGCAGTGGTAGAAGCAGAACCATAAAAAAAAATGCTCCAATTGGATCATGATTTCCATAACAGAAGCTTAAGAAGGATGAAAAACTTTCTTTGGAAAGAGGCTTCCATAGAGGCTTAAATTCCAACTGATAAAGAACCCTGTTTTTCTGATGCCATTTCCAGCACTTGCAAATTGAAATAATGCTGCTCCAGTTTACCAATCTACTGCGTATATTCAACCACTGCATCATATGTTTCCATGGTAAATGAACTCTCCGCAAAACATCTGGAGGAAAAATTATGTCCCGGTAAGTAAACAAATAGTCAACAGAATCGATGAAGCAAAAGGAAATTAGTCAAGAAATTGTGCTTCCGTAAAGAATAAAGAAAAGCAAATGAGAATGACGAAACATCGAGTAGTAATGAAACTGCAAAATCAAGACTCGGTTGCACCTACGAGATGAGACTTGTTATAACAAAAACTCAAAACAGACATAGCAGGAGGAGGTTGGGTTGGTTACTGTTTTCACCAATATGTTGCAGTTGCTTGTCAGTTTCTAAATCTTTATATCATTTTCAACCCTCCGTCTCCAAATGACCCCGTGTGACCCAATAAAAAACTGCATATGTTACTCATCAAGGGAAGCAAACTTCTTACAACCCATTCAATCAATGAGAGCACAAGACAGGCTTCGAGTAGCCATACATTCGAAGGTCAATCATACATACGCAAACTAAATTCTCTTAAAGCATCAAATGAAAGGCCAGCAAAGTTACTTCGCACTCAATTTCAATTTTACCTGAATTCATGCCAAAAAAGGTCGGTTTTGTCAAGCACGAATGCACGTAATTCCGTGAGGAACTGATCTCCTTGACCGGGCTGTCCAGAAGAGCAATGAACCTTCTTTTCAAGGGTCGCAATGTAAAGTGAAGTCGCCACATGAACAATCACAGATGGATCTGGGTCACCAAGCACAGCTTGTAGCTCCCTTCGAACCCACGGCTCTATTCTCCTCAATATCCTTTCCCTCGCACCACTATTTCCCGATACATTCTAAAGTTTCAAAGACAGGTTTCGAACATAAGACCTATATACATGTGAATTCATGTATACGTATTTGTGTGTACTTTTAAGTTCTAGACGTATAACAAATGTATTGTATGTAAATATTATACATGAATATACGTCTATAAACACACTATATAAAATTGCTTCACATTAGTTATGGTTTTCAGAAAACAACAAGAACAACTTGTTCTCTGAGTTTTCTCTTATAAATTTTCTCCCCTCGGAAAACAATGAGAGAAAAATGTCAAAACACGTATTTTGTTTCTTTCCAGGACTAAAAGGGCACATTTTCTGTGACAGTAAAAATACCTGTTCAACACGGTCTACTGATGTTAAAGGAACAGCTTTCAAACGTCGCTCGTATATGCTGAAACAAATATATATATATATATATTAAAAAAAATTGCTAAATTAGCAACAATCTTTTTCAGCTTAAAGCGTGAGAAGAAAGATTGAATTCATAAGAGACAAACCTCGCACGCCATTGAAGTTTTCTCTGAGCAATGACGTCAGCACCGACAGATCCCAGCCGTCCAAACGACCGCCGCCACGGCACCGGCGTCGTTCGCCGCCGAGAAGAATTTATCGCGATCCTAAAAAATAACAGAAAGGTTCGAAATTGTAATTCCGACAAATCCAAAAGACCAGAAGCTAATTATCGAAACAAAAAGCTCGGACCTTCGAGGACGTTCTTCTTCTTCTTCGAAGCGGAAGTTTCTAGAACTTGTTGTTTCGAGAGGCGGTAAGCGGTGTCGATGGAACTTTCCAGAAGAGAAGCTGATGCGGGAGAACCAAGAGTCGAAATCGGAGTTGCAGAGAGGGCATTTTCGTCTGAAGAAGCTCCACTTGCGAATGCAATGCTCGCAGTAGGCGTGGTTGCACGCCGTGAGCACCGCAGAGGTCCGTCCATGGAGGTATTCCAGGCAAATTGGACAATATTGCCCTCGGATCGCCGGCGAAATTATTCGCCGGAGAAACTTCGTTTTTCTCGACGGTGACGTTCGGGAAAACGATGAGCATTCCATGAGTTTGGAGTCTTTTGACTTCGGTGATATTGGAGAATGGAAAGAGTTATTTATGGCCTGAATTGGGCCGATAGGCTACAGGCGGTTCTTATCTGGGCTCATTGACAACGCCTATGGGCTGGGCCTACTATTTCTTGGTTCAGGGGTCATTTTAAGAACTTAGGAGGAGAGAAAGAGATAGAGAATAGATAGAAAAAATGAAGAATTTGTACTTAGAGAGTGTATAAGTATGGGAATAGTACCGTAGAAATATAAGATATAATATGATATTTATTATTTATTAAATAAAAGAGTTTATTTATTATTTTATGTTCATATATTAATTAATATTTTATGAATATAAGTGAAAATTTTATAATTATTTATGTGATCTTAAATATTATATATAAGTGTTATATACGATATGATAATATTTAAGGATAATAATCAAAACAACGTTCGTAATGAATTAAATTAAAGTTCAGAATCTTTAATTAAAGCATTACTAATACATGTCATTCCCATTAAGAATGGTACGATGTTATTCGCGCTGTAAATATGACGAGATATTGAATAAGTGTATATTACGCATAATGAGATTATGTGGAATATGCTTACAGACACAATATGAATTTCTAATAATTTCTGTTAAGTATAGAAATTCTAATTGAGTCTATCTATGGTCATATATAGAATGATCTTAATCCTGAGTTATTAGCAGACTTTTATTTATGGATTTGTGTCTTTTGATTTACTCGGTACGGATTCTGAGATGTTGAATCATATTCTTTGTATTTTTGAGACATGATAAGTGAGTAGCCGAGAATGTTATTATACGAGATGAAATCCATTCCTTCTTAAGAAAGAAGTAGATAAATAATTCTCTTGAGAGTTGATTCAGTATTTGGATCAGTAGGAGCTCCGATTTATGAATTTGTTTTATGAATTGTTGTCCATTAGAGAATCAATGGTACTCAAGAATAAAGATATATTTAGAGAGGTTAACGGATTTCATCTAGCTCTAATTATGAATTATATATGGAGGATTGATCTATATGTAATGACTATATCAAATGGACACTTCATAGTTTAGAAGTAATTTATGTCTACAATTACGAGAGTGCAATTCCAAATTTATAGTGGAATAACTTTTGGAATTAATATAATTAATTAATTAATTAAAAAGTTTAATTAATTATTAATTTTATTAGAGCTCAGAATTATAGGTACATGAGTCCCCGCATCGTCCTTGTAATCCTACAAGACACTAAGGGCAAAATGAGAATTTTAGAATTATGGAATTCTAAAATAAAACTCTTTAGAATAATTAATTGAGAATTAATTATAAATTAAATAATGTGATTATTTAAATTTAAATTTGAATTTTGAAACACACATGTGAAGGTGTAGTGTGAACGCGCAACACAATGTGAATCCCTTTGTGATTCAGTTGCTTGCTCTTTAAATTATCTAATTAACTTATTTGATGTTGTCTAATTTGAAATTTAAATTGATTTAAGTTTGACTTAAATTGAAATTTGAATTTGAGTCAAAATTAGACTGCAGGATAAATGCAGAATTTTGTCCTATTCTTTATCTACAGTATGCATCTACCACATGGAGGAATTTCCTTGTGGTGGTCGGCCAACATGTGGATAAGGGAGAGTGGATTTTGTTTCAAAAATTAAATTAGAAGTGTGAGATAATTATCAAGTTTTATCTTGAAAATAAAGATTATAATTTTTCTAGGAGTCTGACTACTACTTTATAAATAGGAGATTGTATAAATTTAGAGAACATAATTTTTGCTTTCTCCTAGCATTAGTGCCCGGTTTCTATAGAGTGTGGGAAGGAAATTTTTCTCTAAATATTCCACGTTGTGCATGTGTTGGTGTTCGTAGAAATCTTTGAGTGTTTATTTGCTAATCTCGTTTTGTTTTAAGTATGTTCACACACATGTCTTCGTAGATTCTAAGAATTGACGATGAAGATTCAGGTATTCTAAACTAGCTTGGAGCAAAGAACGTTCGAGGTCAAAGAAATCAAGTTATCGTCCTAATCGTCTGCTAGGTAAATAAATTAATTTGATTAATTTATTCATGCATAAATTAATGTAATATATAGAGTATCTCAAAGTTTTATGACAATTTTTGTTATATACGATCCGCTAAACACACGCTTCCGCATCCAAAATTATTTCGAAAACCAACTATGAGTATGGACTTTTACCCCTTATTCTTGATAGATACTCTTTTGTTAGTGTAATTATTTGACTAAAAAGGTTATAAATCAAAATAAAGCTGACTCATGCACTTTCAAAGGTATTTGTCAATATTACCCTAATGCAAATACTAATACCAATTGTATATTTAACATTAAAAAGTATAATATGGTATGTACTTCAATGCATAATGCTATTTGAAATGCTAAATCTACATTTTTTCATAATCATTAAGCTTTGAAAGTTGTAAAAGAATACTTTTATTTTTAAAATTTTAATTATAAAATGTAAAAGTTGTAATAATTACATGAAAAAATAAATATTTCAGCCAATAGTAATCAAATGTCAAATTTTCTATATGCTATACTTGGTGAAAAATTTGTCAAAAAGTATAACATCTAAGAAATTTGACACAACAATAGTATTATATTGAAGAGTGTCTTTTATACTTAAATGTTAAATTTGCAATTGACACATCAATATTTGTATTGTATTGGAAATGCTCTAATATTTGATTGAGAAAATGAGATAAATACCCCTTTGATAATGTCCCATAAATATTAGCCCCATAAATATTAGCTCACTGATTTCTAGTCAAATAACAATACTAGTCAAAAGGGTATTAATTAAGAGTAAGGAGTAAAAATTGAAACACATGCACACTAAAGATAAGTTTAACATTTTTCTCTATCTCTTCTCATTATCTCAATTAGAATTATTAATGGAAAAAAGAGGCACAAATCCTATTTAAGGGTGAATGGGTATGAATTTTTACCCGTTATTTTTTATTAATATCATTTTTTAGTTAAATAATTATATTAGTAAAAAAAAATATGAACCAAAAGCAAAATGTTAAAATTTAGAATCATGTATGGTAAATTTAACAATTTTCTCATGCACTAATTTATTAAGTAAAAACATTTATCTACCAATTTTCTCATTAGTTTGTAATCCTCTAAATTGTGTATTTATTGAAGTGTGTAGCCAAATTCAGTTGTCGACTATAGACAATTTTCGTTTGAAATAGTTGAACTTTAGGATTTTGAAGTTTTTTAAAGTATTTTTTTGTATTAGTTATCAGTATTCATAATGATGATGATGATGATGTTTTAGGGATCTCACATTTGTTATAATTTTCTCCGACATTAACTCACTCGCATTTAGTTGATTTTTTTTAATGAACATTTAGTTGTTATTTTTGTACTAGTAAACGCAACTTTTTTTCCTCGTTCACTTTTCGGATTTGAGTTTTCAATTCGAGTTGAGATGTGACATTTTTTGAGAAATTTTTACTGTAGCAAAAAAAGTTAGATGTGACATTTTCTGAGAGCTTTTTACTGTAAAAACTTAAAACTGAAAACTCGAATCGATGAAATGAACGAGGCCTTTAATATTAAAGTTTTTTAAATATATATTATTAAAAAGATTTAAAATTCACAAGATTAAAAAAAAAGGGGGGAAAAGTATTAGTAGCTAAAAAAAAAAATTAAGCTAAACCGGATTTCATAATAATAGGTTTAAGCTATAGTTTGCATACATATGGCCCCGTTCTTTGCGCTGATTTGAGTTTAAAATTTGAGTTTTGCTACAATAAAAAGCTCTCAGAAACAGTCACATCTAACTTTTTTGCTACAGTAAAAAACTCTCACATAACATCACATCTCAACTCGAATTAAAAACTCGAATTAGCGAACCGAACGGCCATTGCTTACCACTAAATTCACATTTGACAATCCCCTATCTATAAATTCAAAATAATAATAATAATAATAATAATAATATTAAGATGATTCATAAAAATACAATTTTATGAAAGTGCATTGATTAAAAGTGGAACTTAGGCCTCGTTTATTTTATCGATTTGAGTTTAGAATTTGAGTTTTGTTACAGTAAAAAACTTTCAGAAACAGTCACATTTAACTTTTTTATTACAATAAAAAGCTTTCAAATAAAATCATATCTTAACTCGAATTAAAAACTTAAATCAACGAACTAAACCAAAGAACTCTAATCCAGAGTAGAGAGGGACCGTCAACGCTGTCGTTTTGCTGAAGACAAAAGACGAGACCAACCAAAACACTGCCGTTTTTGGACTCCAGAACTGCAGAAGTAAGTAGGTAGCGAACCGGTGCTGTGCTGTTGGGGTATTAAGAGAGAGAAAGGGAGAGGAGAGAGAGAGGTTTTGTGTGGGGATTCATTTCAATTTTGATGTGTCGCATTCAATAAACAAACAAACCACAAATTGGTTCAAATTTTTTCATCAACAAAACGAAAACCACTCTTTTTTTTTTTTTGGTTTTTCTCTTCTCAGTATTAACTTTCTTCTCTCGCAAAAATGGACGTTCCAAAGGATCAAATCTCTACTCTTATCGACCTCGGCCTCCACAACTCAGCTCAAATGCTCGTAAATCTTTCTTTTTCTCTCTGTTTTTTTTTGGGGTCTTTTTTGCTTGTAGAGTTTCGCTTGAATAGAGCTGTTTAATTTTATTTTTATTTTTATTTTTTTGAATAGGGTTGCTTTCTTGTATCGTCACCTGCTGCGAATTTCCGAGACCAATCTACACCTCAAAGCTGAAAGCTTGGTAAAACTATCTCCAACTTCACTTTCATTTTTTTTTTTTTAATTTTTTTAAAAAATTGCTTCTGGATATCTTCAGGTGCTACTCGGTGATGCATTGTTTCGGGAGAGGGAATATCGCCGAGCGATTGTAAGGAAAAAAAAAATTTAGAAAGCTTTAATTAATTATTATTATTATGATAGTTATAATTGTTGGTAGTTATTATCAAATCTTGTTTTGAATTGACCCATTTCGTATGATTGAAACTCTTTAGATACAAGATTAAACCTCCTATTTTTACTTAGATTGTTAAATATATATATATATATATATATATATATATATATTTGTGTACTTAGTTTTATGATACTACTACGTCATATGTTGCTGAAGAGTTTTCAAGTATCTAGAATAATTCTCTATCTGCCATTTATGAAGTTTTGTAAATTTAGACTGCTGCAATTCGGTCTCGAGCCTATGTTAATTTTCAAGTATCTAGAATAATTCTCTTCTCTATCTGCCATGTATGAAGTTTTGTAAATTTAGACTGCTGCAATTCGGTCTCGAACCTATTTTAAGAATTAGATGCTCTAATCCTTTACTTTTAAGAGCAATAAAACCGAGGAAAAACAAATAAGTGCACACAAGATTTCTGGTGTTACATCCTTAATGTGAGAGCTACATTCACTTTTAGTCGCTGCGGAATTTCACTATGAACAAGAAGAATATTGTAAGAGAAATCACACGCCTCACGCCTATTAGACTACGTGTTTTTCTCTAACCTCTCATGACCCGAAACAGGCGCCTCCCTACATTAGTATAATTTGGACAATAATTAGGCTTCACTCACTAAAAGTTATGATATATATTGTTTATTATATTTGTTTGGTTTTGTTGGCAGCATACGTACAAGCAAGCATTGCAATATTACAAGACTGCAAAACAAAATTCGACCAGTACTAGAAGTGCATTGTCGTCGAACAGGTCCTCTTCTCCGAATTCTTTTAACATTTCAGCAATTAATGAAAATGAGGTAGACCCTTTTTTTTTTCCTTTGGACTTTTGTTCGTTTGAGCTTATTTTAGCGTGATAGTATATTTATTTGTTATGTGTTCTAAGATTAAGATTACTCATGCAGAGATTCTCTTGTTTTGATATGATGTGCATCTGACAGGTGAAGTTCAAAATTGCATCTTGTCATTGTTCTTTAAGCGAGAACAGGCTGGCTCTTGCTGAGGTATGTAGGCCCACGCATTCTTGTTAGATGGATTATTTAATGAAGAAGAAACTTGGGACAACTTTTGTCAGATTGCATAGAGTATTTCATTTTCACTCCGAATGTTCCATTGCGATATTTGGAGATCTTGAAATTCTTATGTTATTTTATGGTTTTTGCTTGATAGTTGTTTTCTTTCCTTTTCTATGAGCTTATAGTTTTTGGAACCCCATTACTTCGCAGATGGAGCAAATTAACAAAGGCAGAAACTTGCAGATGAATCTTTTAATGGGAAAGCTTTATCGATATTCCAGAAATAATCGTTCTGCTATTACATGTTATAAAGAATGCCTAAGGTTTGTTTTAGTTTTCCAATCATTTTATTTGGAATAGGAGATTATTTTTTTTTTTCTTTTAGGCTCTAGAATAATTTATGGATTTTATTTAACAATTATGTTGTTCACTTTTATGCCTTGATGACAGGCAGTGCCCTTATGTAATTGAGGCTATTATAGCATTAGCAGAGCTTGGAGTTTCTGTCAAAGACATCGTTTCATTGTTTCCTCAGGTTTGTTTATGAAGCACTGGCACAGAGCAACTTATTTTCTGATTGAATAATTTATTTATAGGACTTGTAAAACTATGTTCTCTTCTGTTATTGATGATATTTATTATCTTTGTACGCTTTAATCCAGACTCCAAACAGAAGTGCGAGGGTTCCATTTGATTGTTTTGACTCAAGTCGTTGGCTTCAAGTAAGTATTGGACAAGGTTGCTGATTTTTTTCTTTTCCCCTTTCACGTTTTGACATTTAAAGTCAATCATCAATGGGACTTGCATTATTATGAAGCAGTAGAAAATTGTTCTGAGTTGCTTCAATACCAGAGTCATAAACCTTCAGTCTACAAATCCAAACATTCTCCTTGCAAAATATTTTCATTTGGGCTATTGATCTCAATATATAAATCTTCTCACGTGTTCATACTCCACTATTTTGTGCAGCGGTATGCTGAAGCTCAGTGTTGCATTGCTTCAAATGACTACAAAGGTAAAAGAAATATTTCTTCAGTTTGAGGGTTGGCTCCATTTGTGAGTGTCTGTATGAAAAATGGAGAATATCTGCCTAGTGTGTCGTGAAATGATATGCTAAAAGTCAAGTACGTATGCATCAGAAATCTAATCTGTTACGTGTTGGCATTAGCTATATACATCACGTTTTCTTTCACCTCAAGCGAAGAAATGGTAAAAGGAGACTTGGTGTAAATTAAACTGGAAATTTCTCCTTTATTGACTGGTTTACATTATGGTGTCATGAGTTTTCTTTAAACCACGATCTTTCTTCTGTTCCTCATGAGTATTTAATGATTGATGAATATTTTTTGTCCTTTATATATATATATATATATTTATCTTTTGCTTCAAGTACATCTTACATCTGATGAATGATGAATATTTTTAATCCTTTTGTTTTCTTTTCCTTTTAACTACAGCCCTTTTGTTTTCTTTTCCTTTTAACTACAGCCTTTTTGTTTTTAATGTGTGTTTGCAGGTGGTCTGGAATTGTTTTCAGATCTTTTACAACGTTTTCCAAATAACATACACTTATTACTTGAGACTGCGAAGGTTCGAAATTTATTTAGTAGTGTTCTCTGTGAAGCTCCTTTTATTCACTAGAATTGTTTACCTTTTTATTTTACTTCATGATAAAAATGGAATATAAGTTGTACAATTGAGAACTAAACAAATTTTGATATTTTGGCTTGCTTATGAAGGTAGTTTTCTGTATGAATTTTTCATTTAAGAGATAATGAGAAACGAATTGTGTATTCGGTGTCACTGTAAAGAAACATAAAAGAGTTGCACTATACTGGAAATAGATGTGTTTTACTCCGATTACTTACAGTCAATAAGTACTAAAAGTTATATTTTGCTCGTTCTTTGAAGAGAGGAACCAAAGCATCTTGACTTGTCTTTTTATATGAATAACGAAATTGAAGGTTGAAGCAATCATTGGAAAGAACGATGAGGCCATAATGAATTTCGAAAAGGTAACAATAACATGACGTTTTATTGAGGCAACACCTTTTTTTCCCCCCTCTTTCTTAGCCAAAGAATTATATCTAATTTTTTAGCTTTATGGTCATTTCAGGCTCGCTCCATTGATCCATATCTGGTAACTTACATGGATGAGTATGCAATGCTTCTAAAGATAAAGTCAGACTCCTCAAAGCTAAACAAATTGGTGCACGATTTGTTGGTTACTGATCCTACGAGGCCAGAAGTTTTTGTAGCATTGTCTGTCCTGTGGGAAAGGAAAGATGAGAGAGGAGCTTTATCCTATGCTGACAAGGTTGGTTTGTTTAGTTAGCTGAAATTGACTTCCTTTTTTTTGTTAGACATCTGACATTATCTTTCTTTGCAATCAGAGCATACGAATAGATGAGAGGCACATACCAGGTTATATAATGAAGGTACCTTTGTAAATCTTAATTTTCCTAATGAAACTGAAAGTTGTCGTACGGAGACTCTTTAATATTAAAATTAATGCTCACTACAATTAATCTCCTCAGGGTAACCTGTTGTTGACTCTGAAGCGACCAGAAGCAGCTGTGGTTGCTTTCAGGGTAGCTCAAGAGTTGAGACCTGATATTCGTTCTTATCAAGGTATGATTTGTCAGCAGAAGGCCCCTTGTCTTTCATGTCTTTATTTGGTTTGTAAGGCTTTATGGATCCTTTTATAAATGAAGAATAATCAAGAATTCGTAAGTCCTTGAAATGATAGGTTACTCATTTGTGTTAGGTTTGGTTCATTCTTATTTGGCTCTCTCTAAAATCAAAGAGGCTCTTTATGCTGCTAGGGAGGCAATGAAAGCCATGCCTCAATCTGCAAAGGCTCTAAAACTAGTAGGTGATGTACATGCTAGTAACTCTGGTGGCAGGGAGAAGGTAAAAGTAAAAATAGCAAAACATTATTACAGCATCAGTTCATAAGTAGAGTTTACAGCATCGGTTCATAAGTACAGTTTAACTCTTGTGTTGATTTGAGACATTTACATTGAAGTTAAACTTGCTACAGGCCAAAAAGTTCTATGAATCAGCCCTTAGGCTGGAACCTGGTTACCTTGGAGCTGCACTAGCTCTGGCTGAGCTCCATGTTATTGAAGGGCGAAATGGAGACGCTGTAACTCTGCTTGAACGATATCTCAAGGACTGGGCCGATGACTCCCTTCACGTAAAACTAGCCCAAGTATTTGCTGCAACAAATATGTTGCAGGATGCATTGTCTCATTATCAAGCTGCTTTGAGGTACGTTAACCCTTGTATACAAGTGATCTGAAATTACTTGCTTTCTCTTCGGACTCAAAAGTCTGCTATCCCATTGAGAATTTTTTATGGGCTTTCTGGGGTATGAGAAACTCTGAAGAAGAATTAGGTGCTAGGGCCATTGGAAATTTATGTGCAACTATACAAGGTAATCCAGAAACAAAGGCATTTAGTTTTCTATCATTTGACTTCAAATGTTACATTATATCACGGGGGAGCTATTTATTACTATAGGATGTCCCAAATTACACTAAATGTTGATCGTATGATATGTGGACGAATTCTTGTCATAGATGCTCACATTTTTTTCATCATGCGTTGCAGGATCAACCTGCAGAATGAAGCTGCAAAAAAGGGGTTAGAGCGCTTAGAGAAACAGATGAAGGTTTTGCTTCAACTTTAGTGTTCCATGGCAATAATCATAAGCCGGTTGAGCTAGATTGTGATTTTAAAAGTTTGTTGTTTTGTAGGGGGTCGATCCGGATGCACCTGAAGATGATGAAGAAAATGAGGTTGAGGATGCCGACGCGGACCAAGAAGAGACTGACCTTTTATGAGAACTATACCATCCAATTACAGATATTTGCGAAGTTTGCTTAAAGGAGAAAATGAGATGTGGCAGTTGGCAGATCAAGCTGAGAACTGACGAGAATTTCCATATCGCAGGCCGCCTTTGAGCTGCTATTTTCAGTTTCTGTTTTAGAGAGGATTGGAGAAACAAAAAGTTTGTCGTTGATATCTACCCAGTGTGTCAAGGAGATTGAAACAAATTTCTAGCATAAATATGAAGTGAAACACCCGAATCAGTAGATGAGGAACGGCGAAGAACATCGACCGTTGGCTGCTGCTGAGTCATTTAATCTTCATGAAAAAAGTGATGTGCATCTCATGCTGGGTAACACTGTCATTTGTAATTCCGTCTATTTTTGTTGCATGCTTGTCTTTCATTTTATGTTTTGTTGTTGAAGTTGATTTCATGTCACAGCTTGTATAAAATGAGTTGAGTCATTCTTAACTCAAAGACGATGAAGAAGATCGGCATTGTTGATTATTTTAATGTGGTAATAAAATGGCATCTGTTTGAGCAGCTACTATTTTACGTTGTTGTCCTCGCTTTACAAGTATACCGAAAAACTTGCCTCATTCCGTTTGTGGTGGATTCTAACTATGAAGTTGCTTACTTTTATTTATTTATTTTTGCCGGATTCCAAATTGAATTAGGTACTTCCGAATAAATGAATTCCAAATATAGCTTAAGTTTGCAAAGTTAAACGAAACAGTACTGTTAACGGTACTTGACCTAATAATTTAACATACAATCCAGTTGAGACATTGTTAGGTACCTAGCTCAGAAAATCAACCAAACACCAATTCCACACTCACACACACCAGAAACAGCAAGAAAATGAGAGTAATAAGGGAGATTTTTATTAATCCAATCAACCAAGGACACCGAATTACATTGAAAAAGAAAGGATAGATCGGAGATTTCAAGCTCTCCCGCACTCCCAGCTGTTTCCGGCAACACACTCAAACTTAGAAGATGAAAACTGCTGACTAACCCCTTACTGCTCATTCCTACACCCAAAGTACTCCCTTATCAGCAGCCTTGCCATATCAGCCCTTCCTAGCCACTTTTAGTATTTGCCCCCAGGCCCATAACCTATGCTTTCTTCCCCTTTTGCCCCTCCTAGTATAAACTTGCTTCAGTAGGGGTCTAACAATACCCCCCCTCCCTTCAAGATCAACCTTGTCCCCAAGGTTGAAATTGGGAAATTGTTGGTGGAGTGCGACCAGGGGCTCCCACATGGCCTCCCACTCAGGCAGTCCGTCCCATTGGACGAGCAGGTCCAAGTCATGTGGTCCTCCCTCTTGAGCCCGACATGCGTGCAGGATGGCTGCGGGCCGGACCAAAAGCTCGAGCTCCTTTGAGAGATGTGGCGGCAAGTGGTGAGCGGCTGGAGTGTCTCCCCTTAACGCTTTAAGTTGAGAGACATGAAACACCAGGTGAATGCGAGCATCCTCCGGAAGTGTGAGAAGGTAGGCAACATGTCCAATCTTTTCGTTGACCGCGAAAAGGCCATAGTATTGGGGTGCCAACTTATCGTTGAGCTTCTTGGCCAAGGACTTCAACCGGTAAGGCCGAAGCTTGAGGAGAACAAGATCGCCCGGCGGCGCAAAATGCACATCGCGGCGGTGGGCATCCGTAAACTTTTTCATGCTTTGTTGTGCCTTCTCCAATTGCTCCTTGAGCTCATCCAACATAGACTTTCGGAGCTGCATCAGCTTGTCTAATATCTTGGAATCGGTATAATACCGAGGGATCCCGGCCATAGACGATCTAGAAAGGGGTATACTTAGTGGAGGCATTGTATGTGGTATTGAACCAATACTCCGCCCACAGGAGGAATTTTAGCCACAATTTCGGTTTTGCGCAAGCGACGCACCTCAAATATGTCTCCAAGCAACGATTCACCACCTCAGTTTGGCCATCGAATTTGGGGTGGTAGGCGGAGCTAGTGTGCAGCTTGGTCCTTTGGAGCTTGAACAACTCTTGCCAAAACGTGCTCATGAATATGGGGTCACGGCCACTAACGATTGAGCAGGGAACCCCATGAAGCCAAACACGAACAATTCGGCTACTGATTTTGCTGAGAACGAGTGTGAGAGAGATCATAAGTGGGCATACTTGGACAATCTATCAACCACCACAAGAATAGTATCCCAGCCCTCCGACTTAGGCAGCCCCCCGATGAAATCCATCGAAATGTCCTCCCAAATTTGGTTTGGGATTGGGAGAGGTTACAAGAGACCCGCGGGAGACATTGCTTCATCCTTGACACTTTGACACATCACACAACGGGCCATATAATCATGAATCTCCTCTTTCATTCCTAGCCAAAAGAGATTACTTGCCACCCTCTTGTAAGTGCGAAAATACCCTGAATGGCCGCCTGCCACCAAGTCATGGAACTCATGCAACGATCGAGGAATCCAAGGAGATGATCTTGGCAACACCACCCTTTCCTTCGCGCACCATTTCCCCTCCTTGCAACTTGGCTATCAACCCCGAGCACCACTCATCTGCCCGCTGCCCCCGCTTAACATCCACCAAATCCACCAAGCGGGGCATGGATATGGCCACTAGATCCATGGTTTGCTCCTCTCCATGCCTTGACAAGTCATCCACCACCCTATTTGCAGCGCTAGGTTTAAATTGGACCTCAAAGTCATAGCCCAAAAGCTTCGTAACCCAACGTAATTGTTCCGGTGGTAGCATCCTTTGATCCATGAGGAACCAGAGACTTTGTTGGTCGGAACGAACCACAAAGTGTCACCCCAACAAGTAATGGCGCCACTTCTGAATGGTAAACACCACCGCCATCAACCCCCTCTCATATACCGATTTTACCCTGGTTGCTTCCGCGAGCGCCTTACTAAAGAAGGCGATTGGGCGGCCTTCTTGCGTAAGAACCGCCCGTTTCCACTACAAATGGCTTGGTGAAATCGGGCATAGTGTAGTCGTGGCCCCTTTGAGGACCACAAAGGCTTGGGCTGCCGAATCATCCTATTAAGACCCTTTTTTCTTGAGCAAATTGGTAAGAGGACGTGCTAACTCTTCATAACCCCTCACAAAATGACGATAGTAACCAGTGAGGCCCAAGAACCCGCGCACATCTCACACATTTCGTGGTGTGCGCCAAGTAGTGATGGTCGTGACTTTAGAGGGGTCCATTGCTATCCCCTCTCCCGAGATTATGTGTCCGAGATACTCTACACTTGATCGGCCAAATATACACTTCTTCTTGTTAGCATATAGCTTTTCTCTCCTCAAGACCTCCAACACCTTAGTCAAATGCTCCCGGTGCTCCTCCAAGCTATTGCTATACACCAAAATATCGTCAAAGAACACAAGGACAAATCGGCGAAGGTAAGGCCGAAATACCGAGTTCATAAGCGCTTGGAATGTCGTTGGGGCGTTGGTGAAGCCGAATGACATTACTAAGAACTCATAATGGCCCTCGTGTATCCGAAAAGCCGTCTTCTCAACATCACTCTCGAGGACCCGAATTTGATAGTACCCCGCACTCAAGTCCAACTTCAAAAACACTCGTGCCCCATGAAGTTCATCAATAAGCTCGTCGATCACCGGGATGGGGAACTTATTTGGAACCGTCAATTGGTTCAAGGCCTGTTAATCCATACAAAAACACCAACTACCATCATTCTTTTTCACCAAGAGCACCGGACTCGAATAATGGCTACAACTAGGCCGAATGATCCCCGAAGCCAACATGTCGGCCACCAAGCACTCAATTTCTCCCTTTTGGAAATGTGGATAACGATGGTCCGCCGCATCCTTTAACACGATACGGTAGTCCCGAGCTCTCTTAGGGGGCAGCCCCTTAACCTCCTCAAAAACTTCCCCAAATGCCGCCAACACTCCTTGCTGTTCCTTGGGAATTGCCTCGGCTGCCCCTTCATTACCATTTCCCACTACCTCACAAACCTCTAGTAAAACTCCCACTTGGTAAGGCCCTAGAGATCGAGCCATCGAACGTAAGCTTACCGGCATGTAGCATAAAGAGGGGTCTCCCGTCTAACTCACCCACTCGTTCCCCGCCTTAAACTTCATAGTGAATCGGGACCAATCTACCCTCACCTCTCCCAATCTACGTAACCGCGTCACTCCTAACACCACATCCGCACTCCCCAACTCAAATGGGAAAAATTCCTCCACCATCTTAAAGCCTTGTATCATCAACTCTACTCCTCGGCAAACTCCTTGTTGTTTAATGCACATCCCATTACCAACTTGCACTCCACATCTAACCATTGGATCACAAGGAAGCCCTAACTTGTTGACCACCAAATTCGACACAAAACTGTGAGAAGCTCCCTTATCCACTAAGATTACCACCTCTCCTGAACCTAACCTCCCCTTAACCTTTATGGTTTTCGCCGAATTCACTCCCATTAAGGAGTTGAGAGAGAGATCTCCCTTCTCCTCCGTTGGGTCTTTATCGGAGCCATCCTTCTCCTTTACTTCCCCTTCCATTTTCGGATCGTCCTCGGTTGCCAACAAAATCTAGAGTTGCTTATTCTTGCATCGGTGCCCGGGACTAAACTTCTCATCGCATTTAAGCAAAGCCCTCGTGCGCTGCGTTATTGTATCTCTTCCTCCAACAGCTGACAGTACCCTCCCACGCCTCCAACAGAAGGACTAGAAGCCCCCAACGTGGATGATCGACCCCTCCCTACATCTCCTCATTCACGGTTGGCATTAGATTGAAAAGAGCTCCCCGGGAACGAGGGCCGGCTATTGGTACCTTCGTTAAACGAATAGGATCTTCCCAAACCTCCAACCCGTCCATTTTTCCACCTTCCCATTCTCTCCACCGCCACGTTTCAATCCTCGATTTGTGGAGCTATTTCCATCACCTATTGGAGAGTAGCCGGCTTATGCATTTTCACATCCGCTCTAACATCGTCTCAAAGTCCATGGAGAAAGACCCCCTTATAGAATGCACTTGGCATTCCCCTTACCAGAGCCGCAAGCAATTCAAAACGGTCTAAATAATCCACAACCGACCCCCTCTGCTTTAACGCCATCAATCTTTCCATTGGATTGCTCTCCTTATCACTACTAAACCATTTCAAAATCGCCGCCTTCAACTCCCTCCATCCCAGGAACGGGTCTTGAGAATCCGTCCATCGGAACCAATTCAAGGCCCGCCCCTCCATGCACATTGAGGCAACCAATACCTTGTCTCGTTCCGAGACCTCACACATGTCAAAATATTGCTCTGCCCTAAACAACCACCCATATGGATCCTCGCCGGCGAAACTCGGCATTTTGATTCTCCTTCCTTGAATTTCTCCCCTTCCCCGGTGTCCCTCCGGGGTCTCTTGGGGTTGAACCCGCTGTTCCTCCCACCTTCTTCCCCGATGGGGCAACCCTGGATTCTACCCCCGTTGGGCCCCAAACAGATCCGGATCAGGGCTAGGTTCCCTATTCTGAGGATGCCCACGCCGACCCAGACACGGAGCATGCCTCTCCTCCTCTAGCGCCGGTTCCCGCCGCCGACCCAACTCCGCCGCCCTCTCCGGCGAGCCCCGACCACCATCTGCCCTCAACCTGTCGTCGATCTGCTTTTCCCGCCGCCAACCCAATCCTCCAAACCCTAGATCTCTTTAGTAGTCGCGTTCCTCTAAAAGACCCATATCCCTCCGTCGCCCAAACTCCCACTCATGACCTCGATCTTCGCAAATCAGCGCTTCCCGGTAAAGGTCGGCCCGGTTTGGCACCACCACTCCGCCTGGATCGTCGCGATCTAGGATCTCCTCACCTTGAAACGCGTGATTACGCCACTCCTCTTCTCGCCATTCGCCATCGCGGCCCATGTCGGCAACTGTAGGCATCGGCCACACCTCTAACATCGCCTCCATCCTTCGCAGCGCTGCTTGCAAATCCCCCGTCTGGGTCCAAACCTCCCCCACTTTGATACGAACCCCGCTAAAAATGTGACGAAACCCGTAGCCAAATATGGGATACGATCCAAGATCTTCAAGAATTGATGGAAACCGCGACCCGTTGCTTAGCGAAGTAAAAACCTTGGTATGGTGAAGACGCCACAAACGAGTATGGAAATTCGTTTGATAAGTCAAGTTTGAACGCCACAAGGAAACCTTGATAAGTTCGGAATAGTTTTTTCAAGAACACAAGAAGAATATTTCACAAAGTGAATAAATTTATCAAAACTTTTTTTATTAATTTTCGTTTTTCAGCCTTAAATAGCCGAGTATAAGCTGAAAAGGTTTAAAAATTGAAAAGTCTTATTCTATCCTTAATGAGATAGAAGCCTAAAATAAGATAAACCCTAAAAACAAGATAAAATGTGCCTAAAGCTTACCCTAAGGAAGGAATCCGAATTTTGACCTAAAGATAAGATAAAACATGCCTAAAACCTAATCCCTTAGGAAGGAATCCGAATTTAAATCCAACTCCTTCCTTCTAAACGCCTAAAGATAATCTCTTAGGGAAGGAATCCGAATTTGAATCTAACTCCTTCCTTAAAAACGCCTATTATGCAATTTAAATGTTTAAACTTGAAAATTAAACCTAAAAAGATAGAATTATGATAAAGGCAAGTCTTTATCATCAATTTGACTTTATCCCGGGCTGGAAAACACGCCTAACTTCTTGAAATTCCCCTTTGCACGTGTATCCTGGATTGGCATGCAAGTTGGCCATGCAATGGCTCAATAGACGTGTAAGACTAATTGGCTCTCTTCCGGAATGGCTCAATGGACATGTAAGACTAGTTGGCTCTCTTCCGGATCGACTTTGATGAGTATTTCTTGCATCCGTGATGTTCACATCACACTTGGCCCTAGAGTTCCGCCATACTTCCTCGCACCCCAGCCACCTCCGCCCGGATCTGCAGCAGGTCCTCCGCCACCACCTCTTGAACCGCTTCCTGGACCACCCCCAACCTCTTCTCCACGGTAGTAACTCTCTCCGAATCCGCTGATTTAAGCGCCATGGATCGGTGCTCTAATACCAAATTGTTAGGTATCTAGCTTAAAAAATCAACCAAACACCAATTCCACTCACACACACTAGAAACATCAAGAAAATGAGAGTAATCAGAGAGATTTTTATTAATCCAATTAACCAAGGACACCAAATTACATTGAAAAATAAAGGATAGATCGGAGATTTCGAGCTCTCCGGCACCCCCAGCCGTTTCTGGTGACACATTCAAACTCAGAACATGTTCTTTTGTCCAAAAAACTCAAAAAAAGACAACTCAAGTTCCAACTTTATTCAAGTTCGCGTTCTTTTAAGTTTTAACTTTATTCAACTTTACTCAACTTTATTCAAGTTACAACTTCAACTCAAGTTATAACTCAAATTCAACTTAAAAACTACACTCAAGTTACATACTAAAAGAACAACCCTAAAAAATGCTGACTAACCCCTACTCCATGATCAGCAGCTTTGCCACATCAGCCATTCATAGCCACTTTTAGTATTTGCCCCCAGGCCCCCAACTATGTGCTTTCTTCCCCTTTGCCCCTCCTAGTATAAACTTGCTTCAATAGGGGTCTAACATTACCCCTAACATACATGTATATATGAACGAGTTTTCAATAATCCTTTACACAAATTATATAATCTTCAGTTCATTACAAAAGCCTATATTCTTTAGTCCTTCACGGAAAACTGGTCCTATAAAATGTGAAAATACAAGGGTAGCGTAGGTTATGTAACAATAACTTAAAAATGTGATATTAGTTTGCAATTTGCTAAACATCTTATTGTTATACCTATAAAAAGTCAATACAAAAAATAAATCTAATGTTAGAGCCCCTATGATCCTACGTGAATGACATAGAAAGACGTAAGCCTTGACTAATGTATATATTAATAAAGATTCTTGCAAGTCATACTTGAGAAAGCAATGAGAACCGCGTAGATAAGATTTTTAATGTACAAAAGCCTGAAGCCAGATGCAATGGATCGGCAGACAACAAGTACAAGCCGTGGTGCTACCATCTTCAGCCAAAACAGGCGCAAAATTACAAAATGTTGCACGAGATCTAACAGTAGATCACTATGTACAGTTCCAAAATAATATGGATTCTTGGTTCCCATCCGGAGCTCAATGGCTGAGCCAAGCATTGAAGTAGGCTGCCTCTGATGAAGCCAAGATTCGGAAGATGGGAGAGGGGCTTTCCTGTAAACTCCCAGCGCACGTTTTCATCCGGCATTCATCTGTTTTTCCTGGCTCCATCCTTCCACACTAAACATGGAATGGTTTCCGCGGAGTGGGCGCCCGGTTCTCCATAGATTGCAAGCGTTGTTTCAGATGAAATACTTCAACCTGCGTAGTAACACAAGCAAATGATGCCATTTAAAAATATAGGCTAATGGGTTATAGATTCTAGTCATGAAGATTTAATTTAAAAAGATTACGCCGAGCATGTTAGGTAAATATCCTTTTCCGAGCTTGTACCTGTAGTTGGAATGCCCTAGCTCGTTCCCCCGCAAGGACCCCTCTAGTTGAGTGCAATTCCTGAATGTATTTGCCATGGTTCTTTTCATCAGAATGTAAAGTGAAAATACATGATAATATGTTATCTAGTTGATGGTGTAGGATACCTTCTGAGTATCATCCAACACTGCCTTGAGGAAAGCCACATCATGCTCGAGCCGTACGTTATCAGAATGAACTATATTTGAGAGGTTGTTAGCCTCTTCTTGTGCAAGTTCGACGCCAGCAAGCTTCTCCTTCAGCAATTCCATTCCTTTCATCATCTCAGCCAACTTTTTCTCCATCTCCTGTTTGCTCTTTAGAGCAGATGACAAATTTTTTTCCACGGCTTCTCGGCTTGCAAATGCAGCAGCCAACTGCCCTTCTAATATTGCATTCTTTCTTATCAGTTGTGTAATTTTCGTTTCGTAAAACTGGGATACGCTTGAAGGAGCTGGTACTGATCCCAATTTAATATCATTTACTGGGAATACCGAATCACTGCTATCAACAGGAAGGTTTGCACTTCCTTGGTTATGAGGATTCAAATTTTCAGGCTCATATACAGCAACCATATCTTCTGTACAAAGTTTACCTCCAACAGTACTAGTACGGGTTCCTGAATCAGATTGACTTATTTTATGTTCTGCTGCCTGAAATTAAAATCACGCGTGATATAAAAAAAAAAAAGAGTTAAAAACTAAAATGTAGCACAAATCTTTTGTTTTCAGAAATGTGTCAATACAATGACCGCTTGTATTTGGTATTAAAAAATGTGTGCTTTCACTAAAACCAGAAATCACAACTTATCATATTAAGTAAATCGAGATTATCATTGCACATTAAAGATTTACAGTTTCTGAGACAAGCTCTCCTGCAAAACTAGGCAGAAGTTTCAGAAATTGAGCTCAAATTCTCATTTCTACAGTTAAACAGATGTGATATGATGCAGAAAATAGGAAGAGATGGTTAACCAATCGATAAAACATATGATTTTACCTGGGAAAATGAGCTTTCATCTTCTGCTTTTGCCATCTTAATAGCCGTGTTGTACTCTTCCTCATTATGAAATTGCTTGCGAAGTGAGATATTGCTAGTAACAGAATTCGGGTCAATGAGTGAGGATTCTGATAATGATAATCTTCCAGAACCATGCTGTTCAATTACAGATGCTAAATTTTGTTTGGCAGCTGAATCAACCGTACGTTGGGAAGAACCATTACTTAGTTGACTAGCCAAAGCTGTGGATGATGAGTATTTTTCTAAAAGCAAACTCCCTGGGCCTTTACTTGGAAAAGATTGGCGACTAATGGATGATTGATTCTTTTCCATTGCCAATACTTCAACCTATTAAAGAAGAGAATAGCTAAGAATAGCGAAAAGAGAGTTTCAACAACAAAACTAGTATGGGCCACTCACCAAGTAGAGGTTAACAAGAAACCAAAAAAAGGGAAGGGAAAAAAATGCAAACAACATAAGAAGGATTCAGGCTCTTGAGCCTTTAGTCCATGCATGTTCCACGGCCAAATGCAGCCTGGCAGTAAAATTCAATATACGATGGAAGAGGAATACTTCCCATCTCATACGCACCCTGCGAAATTGAGTGACGGATCCTCTTCTTAGGAAATCAGGTTGGTTCAAGGAGTTGGGGTGTTGGGGTCACATGGCAGGTTTCCAATTAAATCCATATTCAAAAAGATTTGCATTAGAATATACGTAAGAAGGTGCAATATATGCTTTGTTTACTAACCTGTTCTGATGGCTCCTTTTTGGACCCCCCAAAAGCAACAAGAAAATCCTTGTCCTTGTGCTGCACAAGCACTAGACTGAAACCCTGAGAAAAAATAATGGCAGGAGCATCATGTTACATATGCCAAAAGAAACTGCTATATGCTACTACTACCGTTTAGTCTCTTCACTCTTGTTTTGATAGCATACAATGAAGAACAAATCACACAGCATGATGCTAGTTTAGAAAAAGTACGAGACGTGTAAAAGGGAAATAATCAACACATCAGAAACTTATATAACTAAATCAACACATACCTTATTCGTGGTGATGGAAGATGGGAGTGATGCAACGGCCACTGACCACTCAACTTTTAAAATATCAAAGACAAGAGTCTCACCACGTCCTGGAATCACACAGTGGCTTAATAATGCACGTGCTAATATTCAAAAGTTGAACATTGTAATTGTCACAACTAACAAGTCAAGAAGTTCAAGCATGCTAATAGTTCAGGTAAAGAGGCATACGTTTTTTCCTGCTTCCACCCCCGACAATATACCACTTCGTTCCACATAGAATTCCACAGCAACCAGCTCTAGGTGATGGATGGAAACCTCGTGTCTTAATTCTTGACCATATCATCTGAGGAAAATATCTATTTTATGAAATGTCATAGCTAAAGTACTAAATATATAACTGCATTTACAAAAAGATAAAATAGTTGGCCATCTAACTATAACTAAGTTGAGAAAGAATTTACATACTGTTTCAAAATCAAGAGAATACAAGTCACTTAAGGTTTTTGACTTCGATGCCCCTCCAAAAATAAAGAGAGTTTTATCATCATAAAGAGCCGCTGTGTGGTTGGATCTAGGAGAAGGTCCAGTTCCTCTGCAAGTAAATTAAATATAAAAATTAGAAAGAAGTTTAGGACCTAAAAGATGAAGAGTTATGCTGCAATGAATAGAGAACAATTCAGAGTAATCCCCTAAGCAAATTTTAAAGTACTCCAGAGTCCACTTACGTGCAATGAAGAGGAAGCCAAGTCGAGGATTTAAGATCAAACATATGCAGATCATTTAGCTTCCTCCTCTTAGCATCTTCACCCCCAAATAGGATTAAGACAGAGCTCGCCCTAACTACAGTATGACCACTGCGAGCAACCTGAGTTTTTAAAAAAAAAATCCATAATTAGGAATACTTATATAATGTACTACACAGTTTGTGATACACAACTAAACAATGACAATTTTCAAGCTGTGATTATAGAATTTGATAGAGCTTACTCAAACTTTTGGTAAAATATGAGAGTTTATGATTTGATATTTGTTGATATGCATTTTTAAAATCAATGAGACGCCTAATGTGAAGGTTTAGTAAAGATGCAATTGCAACATTTTGAAAGTAAAATACTAACTGGTACGTCTCCTTTTGCTTCCATAAGTGACCAGCACTCTGTCTCTGCGTCAAATGCCCACACTGTGGAAACCAAAAGTAATGAACAATTCAATCACGTGTAATAGCACAATGGTGTCGTATGAACTTACAAGACAAGAATATTTAACCTGAGACTTTGTCACCCCATGGTTCAGTTTTTCCGCCCACAAGAAGTGCCTTTTTCCCCCATGATACCTAGACAACAAAGGAGCTTTTTCTTGATAAATTTTTAGCAATAATTCATTGATGAGGTAATAACGCAGCAGCCACAAGGCTGCTACACATAATATGGATTAAAAGGCTCTGCTTGGTTCAGGAAAAGAAACATCAAACGGTAGATGAAAGTCAACAAAATCCAAGTATACAGTAGAAAAACAGGGCATTATAATTATACAAGGTAGTTATGACAAGTGCCGTCATACCAGAAAATGGCCCTTGCATGCTGGAATCTTGAGTGGCAGACTGCTTGGAGACAAGTAAAGTTTTGAAGAAGCTGTGGTCCAGGAAAACCTGTCAAAATTAAGCACCTGAAATGGGAAATGAAAACTATTGTTGTTCAAATTAACAGTTTCGACACTCAGAAAAAAATTAACAGTTTGGGATATCAGTGAGCATAAATAGATTTCTTAGATACTTTAGCAGAACACTAATTGCTATTACTTCGTCTTAAAGCCGAATCCCTACTCATGCCAACTTTAACACAATTCAAGAACAAAGAAACATTATCCTACCTGCACATCATCAAGCAACCCATTTCCAGATTCACCACCCACCACTATCATCTTGTTCCCAATCACAGTTGCTGCGTGCTATTTGACGGAAAAGTAAACGCCACAACGTTCAACCAAAAAGCAATACGCAGAACTTCAGCAATCTCAAAAAAAAAAAAAAAAAAAAAAAAAAAAAACCATATCCTACATTGAAGCGTGGCGTGGGCTTGTCCCCAGAAATGGATAACATCATCCAGTTTTCAGAGTTCCCCATTGCAGAACTACCGTTCTCCGGGGCAGCGGATGAACATTGAGCATCGACCTCATTGGATTTTCTACTAACTGGGCCATCACATTCGCTCTGCAGAATTAAAATGAGATTAGCACAATGAACCCATTGAATAAAAAAAAAAACAAAAATAAAAAAAATAAAATAAAAAAAATCCTTACATTGGAGTTTCCAGTTCGTTTCGGTTGTCTAATAGGAGTTCCATTAGCAGATTCATTGAGTTGGACCTTCAATCTGAACCCAACAAATCTATTACTATAATTCTTAACAAAAACGTGTGACCAAAATTCGATTCTTTTCATAAAAAACTTCATTTTCCTAATCCTAAAAAGCATCGCCTAGTGTTCGTAGCAGCTCTTCAGTACCATCCCAGGTCTGAACATCTTCTTATAATTCACATATACTTTAAATTAAAAAAAATGGCTGAAAATTCAACAAACGCAGAAAAAAGCAAAACACTGTACCGTCCAAGCTTCATGCGTCGACGAGAAAAGCCGAACATTTTCCGTGAAAGTGAAAGAAAAAATCTCTCTCTCTCTCTCTGTCTCGAACACAAACAACCATAAAAACCAAGAGCTTCGCAACACCAGAATGGAACCTATAAATTATCGGAAAAGAAAGCTGCATTATCGTCAGAAAAAGCCCTAGAAAAAGAAAAATGGGAAAAGTAGGCCAGAAGCAGATGATATAATAAGCAACCCAAAGCTAAACACAAGAAAAAAACGGTCAGTGAGTAGAAGCAATCACCTTTTGGCCCTTGTTTGGCTCCTGAGAAAGTCAAGGAAAATGAGAGAGACTGGACGAGAAAAGAAAGTCGCGACTCAAATAATCATCTTTGTTTCTCTCTCTCTTGTTTTTGTTTGTCTGAGCAAAACTGAGCTGGTAAACGAGTAGTGACTAGTGAGTGTGTAAGTAGAGAGAGAGAGAGAGAGAGAGAGAGAGCGCCAGAGAGAGAAAAGACGAGGTGCGCAAGTTAGCAAAACCTTGTCTTGTCTTGTATAGCTACGCGACGTGATTTTACTATTTCAATTTTCAGCTTCGGATTTTCGGAAGATTTGCTGGTTGAGTCTACGTTGGGCCGTGAGGGCGTACGGTAAGAAGTCCCCACTCTCCCACATGGAGATTGATTGAAGTCTCTCGTATCAAAACGTCCAGACAAAAAAAAATGTAGAGAGAGAAAGAAGAGAGAGAGAGTTTAGTTGGTCGAGGGGAGAGGGCATTTATTTCGTGCGGCAAAAGTGGGGCCCACCTGTCAAGTGAGTCCTTGGGAATTGGGTTGTAAAGCTGATGCAGAGGATCAGAACTGCCTCCCTCTCTCTTCCTCCTTCGTCTTAACCGCCACGTGTAAGTCTGTGAATGGAGAAGAGATATTCCTGTGTGGCTTGACCTCGCTGCACCTGGTTATGGAAACGACCTACTTGTCCAAGTCGCGTGGCAAAAGTACCGCTGCTTTAAAATCATCTTTGGTTTTTTTAAATTAGAGTTTCTCCCTCCTAATTTTTTATTTTTCAGTCGCTATATATGTTATCATCTAATTTGATTTTAATTCAATTTTAATGATAAAAAATTGAGATTATCAAGAAACTGATCTATTGAAAAAGGTCCTTTTAAATTAAATTTGACAGATTTTCTTGGTTTCTTAATTAAGAACTTTGTTTATTTATGTTAGGGAAGCTATTTATGTTAATAGAAAATGACAAACTGTACTAAAATACACGTGTACGCTTGTGAATGGGTACTTAATACGGCAAGCAGCAATTATTATAGAGACGTGTGCATGTTGATGGAAACAAAGTTTGGTATGATCCATATTATGCCTTTATTTAGTTTATTAGTTTGAATTTTATTAATTTAAATTTTTTAATTTGAATATAAAAATTTAAATTGTGTGATTTAAATTAATGTTTGGATTTGTAATTAAAGTTTTAATTTGAACAAGAAATAAAATACGAATTTGTGTTTAGTAAGTGTGAAAAGCAGAGAGAGTGAGCATTTTTTACTGTTTAAAAATGCTTTGAACGGTTGAATATGAGGGGAAAGTTAAACTCTAAGTTGAGCCGTTTAACTCAGTTCAAATGGAGAATATAATTCAAACTGTATGCTTAATAAATGCCAATTCAAACTGTGCTCATTGTTTAAATTAAGTTGAACTGAACTAAACTAGTGAAACAAATATGAACTAAATTTTAATCAAATCTCTTTCATTTCTCAATCCCATTTATTAATATTTTATAGATTTGTCTGTGAACTTGTAATAGTTTAAAATGTTTTGATAACTTGCCTTCCAAACTTCTAATTTTAATAATTTGCTCAATCAATTTGAAACAGTTGCAAACTACCACATTTCAAGTTTTCCATTATTTTTTGTTATATTTGTGTAAACACTATGAGTCGTGATATTGAAAATTTTCAACAAATATACTTTTTAGTCATCAATTTAACATAATCATCATAAAAAAGTACGTTGCAAATGTTTTGCAAGTTGGGAGATAAATGATCAAAATAAAAGTTCACGGGTAAGTTGTCAAAAGGGTTAATTCTATAAAGGGTACTTAAAGTTTATCCACAATTCTACTTTGATCTTGACTTTTAAAATGTCTTACAATTGGTCCTTAAAATTTTACTCTGTTTCAGTTTCGGTCCTTCTGTTGACTGAGTGTTAAATATTTGAAGAAATCTTTATCAATTAGGGACTAAAATTGAAAGTTAAAATTTAAAGACTATTTGTCAAAATGAACTTTTATTTTTTGTATTGTTTTAGTCCTTAAACTTCAGTTGTTTTAAATTTTGGTACTTAATTTTGTAAATTCCTTCAAATATTTAACACCTAACTGAAGGACTGAAACTGAAACAAAACAAAATCTCAGGGATTAATTGTAAGATATTTTAAAAGTTAAGAACTACAATGAGATTAAGAGTAAACCTCTGGGACTATTAAATTTGTGAGATTAACCCTTATCAAAATTCTATAAATTCAGGGACAATTGTGGAAAATGACCTTATCAAAATTCTTAAGCCCTTTTCCCTCACATGGTTATGTAATTAAAGTAACCACTTTATTCTATTGTAGTTTTAAAAAGAAATTAAGGACCCAGTTTTATACAAATGATCATAAATTTTATTTAGTTTGATACCTAATGAAAAGTTTCTCCATAACTTTTTCATAGGAAATGATTACGGGAATATTTTTCATATGCGATCAATTCCTTTTTCAGAAATTGAGAATCAATAACAAATTTTTTTTTTTTTTTTTTTTGTCTCTAATTTCGGGAACAATGATATTTTGTTTCGGTTAAAATCTCAATTTTCACGGCAGCTTTTATTGCTTGGGGCTGGGAGGAGGGACAGTCCAGCCATCTACTTACAAATTAATTAAAGAGGACTTTTAGCCCTAAAATGAAGCAGCCCGGCATACTTTAGTGGAAAATTAAGGGCCCAATAACAATAAAGCCCCATGCAAATGCAATCCCAAAAGTGCATGCATGCATTCTATTATACTATTCATCATTGTGTTGTATATATATACTTCTCAAATCCCCAGAAACCCACCTTTCCCAAACTAAAGCCCTCATTCTTTTTACGGATTCAAGTTTTTAATTTGAGTTAAAATATGATATTTTTTAAAAAATTTTAACTGTAACAGAAAAATTAGATGAGAGTTGCCTAAAAGAGTTCAAGTTCTACAATAATATAAGCAATGTTTAGCTATTTATATGATCATTTTGGTCTGTATCTAGATATTAGCATTATTCCCAAGCCACATTATGATTCATTAATGTAGATTAAATGGCAAACATAAAATGTTACACAAATTGCTGATGGATATCACAAACTGAGGCTGTAAAAGTAAGTATTGAAATAAGAAGTTGATTAGTAGAAAATGCATCATAATTTTATTAAAACCAAAAAGACCAAAACATTACACGATTAAGTTACAAAAAAGCTAGTAGCTATATATATAGTATAGCATACATATCCCAAGTAACTAATTATTAATTATAAGCCTGCTTATTAAAAACTTTAACAAGCTCTATAGGCTATTTTATCCGATATATCTCTCACTCTAACCTTACAAAAGTAGTAAAAAAAGAGTTACATTCTCTTATTAGCGTACTCTGGAGTAGTAATATATAGTATATATATAATATCTTTCACAATCATAAGTTAGTTTTCTCAAACCCATAAAGCTCCAGCGCGTTTAAGCATTGGGATCAAGGACCTCTTGAGATGAAGGCTCATGACCTCATTGGCTCCGCCAACCAGCTCGCCGCCTATAAACACCGCCGGGACGGTGGGGCTGCAGCCGAGCATCGAGAGCGCCTGCTCGATCTCCCTGCCTCTAGGTTCCTCATCCAGCTCATACACCGCAGGGTTCACCCCAAAGTCACAGAATAGGGTTTTTATGGTGTGGCACATGCAACAAGTGCTCCTGCTAAAGATCACCACAGGCTTCTCGGACACCATCTTTGTCACTCTCTCCATTTTTTCCAAAAGCAAAAGGATTGTCTCGACGGGCTCGGAGTTTTGTTTGTAGGACTAGCTTTCAGCGACAACTAATATGTAATGCCGATGAGAAATAGTGCTTATAGGGCTTCTCGAGTGAGCTTGAAATGGAAGAGAGAAGAAGTGGGAAATGTTGTGTTTGTTTTCTAGGAAACTAGTAGTGTGGAGAAATGTTGTTGGTTTGAGGATTTTGGTGTGGGGAAACTAGGCTACCATGGAAGTGTTTATATAGGATTTTGGTGAGGAGGGGTTAAAAGTACAAGTACTATTACCTAGCTAGTGGTGGGATTGGCGTTGCCTTAAGAGAGAAATAGAAAAAGTTTGATAGTGAAGGTAAGGATGAGAATGTTCCAACTCGATATTTCTGTACGTGTAATGCTTCCAAATCACACTTTGATATCATTATTTGATTACGATCTATCGTTCTTCACAACTTCTAAAAGGAATTTTAAAAATAAAATAAAAAATAAAAAATAAAAAAGTTGGCTGGCGCACAACCACGATTCTTTGCATACGGAAGTAAATAGAGACGTGTCCTTTGTACGGCTTAACATTACACTATTTACCAATGCACATCTACATATAGTTCCATGAAAATATATAATATAACCTAATGTATACTTATAATATGTGTAACCTTTTTCTTTTTTAACCTTTTCCAATGCAATTGACTTGGTTTTTTTTTTTGGGTTTTCTTTAATACTTATTGTTTCAGCCTTTTATACAAAATTGTAACGTTATTCGATTGGATAATGAATTATTTTATATTATATACACAAACTAAGACTGGCCATAAATGGTAGTTTTTATTAACCAAATTTCCATATTGAGATTTATTGTGTTCTGTCGTCTATATCTATCCCACAGAATCTGCTGAGTTGGGGAAACTTTGGATTTATCCAATTGGGACCTCCTTTTTTGCAAATTTTAGATTCGCATCCAATTCACGAAAGGGAAACAGAAAGACAAGTGAAAGAGAAACTACAGTGCAATTTTGCTCAAGTAAGCTATAAATACATAACGCGTGGCACCAACTTATCACAAAAAAAAAAACAAAAACAAAAACAAAAAAAAAAAAAACCAAACCATTTGACGCAGATTTGTGTGCAGTATATATTCACCTTCGAATATCGCATAAAAATTATACAATCAAAAAAGTAAGTAAATATATAGAAAGTTTTTACTTTTTTTTTTTGAGAATTAACTTTAACACATATAGACCACATTAAGCAGAAGTTCCTTTTCTTTTCTGCAAAAACAAATCTTTTTCATTTTATTGGTTCTTTTTCTTGTTATATTTTATTCCATTAAAGTGTTTGTATGAGCTAAGTTCCATGCATATATTTCATTTTCATGAAGAAAAAAGTGACCGTACCAGGAAAGAGAAATGCAGATGCCATGAGGTCCCCAACATTATCCTCTTTAGCTAGGTAGAGTACTTTATAACTTTTTTTTCGTATGCAAAATATGACCAATAGTAGTAATAATTATCTCATTTTTTTAATTTAATCTTGCTAGTCTACATGAGTTAAAATAATAAAATTTTATACATGGTCCATTGTCTATGTTTATGACTCATTTTTAAAGTTAATTAATATGTGAAAGTGCAATTTCGTTAAAAGTCTATAGTGATAATCAAATCCCTGTATGTATACATATACGACAAGAAAATGTACAAAGTGTACAGTGTTATTTTTGCTTTCCATAATGAAATATTCTCGAAAGCTCGAGATATAATCTCAAGTCATTCTGCAAAAATCCCATCACATGCAAAATTAAAAGCCATTTCACTTTCTTTTGTTCTTTTCGACTTTTTCATCACACCTATTAATATTCGAATCGTGGTCGTGTATCTTGATTGTAACGTCGACAAAAGTTGTATACGTATATAGATATTGTAGAGATATGCATATATACTGTACTTTTTCTTGTATGTGATTTCAGGTTCTGATCAGGTATGGCAACGATACCCAATACCTAGAAAAGGGTCATTGACCTTTTTTTTTAAGGTAGCAATGCCCATAACCGGCTCAATTGGGTATCGAAGAGCCAGTTTTAAATTAGGGTTACTTTCGTTCAGCAAAGAAAAAAAAAATTAGGGTTACTTTTATCGACCGTACGTAACATGGCTCTCTCGTACTTATATAAGCATCGAATCATGCATATTTTCGTTTTTCTGCTATATTATGTATGCATATATATATATATATGGCTAGCTATAAATATATATATATATATTATTATGTACATCATGTTTACACACGTAAGTTACATGCAATGTTGTACCGTGGCCACTGCCGACATATGTTGGTAATTTCATTTTCATGTGTTAGTGTACTTATTTAATCATGATTCGGTGCCATTCTATGTTCAGCTAGGGCCAAATATTGTACTAGAGTAATATGACTAATTTTGAACACCGCACCCAAGTTATAGCTAATCACAATATCAATTACACTACTATGGTCCAAATTAACTATATATATATATGTTGTCTAGTTATATATCTATTCCATGCTGACGTTAAAATTATGTATACACTTTTCACCAAATCGATATATTTGAATTCCAACTCCCTAAGAAACGGTATTCCTCCAATTCAATCACCCTAGTACTATATATCCAGCTCACATGTTTCCTTTTGTACCCTCAAAGTCAAATAACACTAGTAAAAATCTGAGATTTAGCAATCATTAATAATCGTCATTAAAAGATTAGACGAAGGTTAAAAAAATTATCAACTAATCGAGAGTCGTTAAATTGTTGTACGATTTAACGATGATTTTTATCCGTTGTTAAATAAAACGTTAGATGACGGTTTATATACAAAATCGGCGTCTAAGATCTTCCTAAAATGACAATTTTGACAGTTAGGTAGCACATAGAATATATATAACGACAATTTTACTTAAAAACTGTCATTATATATGCCTTATGCACCAAAAAAATTGGTGTTATTTTATTGCTTTTCCCAACGGGTTGGCATATTAATCCCATAATTTATTAGCATTTTGGCCAAACAATTAACACAAGTCACAAGTCACAAAACATAAACAAATTAATATTACATATATTCAAATCAAAATGTATACATAAATTAAATTATATGTCCCTTTACAATATGTTATATATACCTTTACAATATATGTCCCTTTATAAAATGTGCACATTCATTTATCACTTCTACCAATGCTCATTAGAATATGGCTCTATGTTTTTTAGATAACTAACACCAACTCTCATTATATCGCGCATATATCTTAAGACGAAGAACCCGCATTCTTTGTTCCCCTCTTGTGTCGGAATTGTCTGATAATGAATAAAAAAATTTAGTACATGAAAAATGGTATTTCTTAAGTTCGAGTAATTCAATGAACGAAATTATGAACACTTACCTTTGGTATGAGAAATTTTGTGAACCCATACGCATGAAGTTCAAATTCAAGCCTTGTTTGTGCCTTCCAACCACGTAACGCACTAATAAATGATTAAAAAATCAATTAATTAGTAAAGGAAATAATATAAATTAGTAGTTCGAAAGTTATAATGAATGCTAAACTTGCAGGGCAATCATTCTTCTGAAGTCTACGCGTACTTTCACCACAAAGGGATCCAACCACACGACCTTATCTTGTGTGGGAGATATCACAGCCAACATCTAATGTCCTCATCCGTTGTATGGCACGAAAATAGTGCGTCGAGCGTCCGATTGTATCAAAAAATGTATAAATGGCGTTTGCCCACCGCTTTATATCTAGCTACGCTTGGCCTGGAACGTAAGATGTGAGTATCAGAGACATGAAACCCCAACGTCCTAGGACATTCTCCTGATTGCACACATGCCACAAGTGACTACATGAAAAATGAAGAAGTTAGTTATATATTTAACAATAAATAATAATTTATTGTGAAAAAGTAATAATGATAGTTATATTACCACATGTAAGCCATGATACACACAAGACTAAGCTCTTGATAGGTGGCCATCCACGGCTGTAATGAAGATCTACATATTCTACACCTGAGTCATATCGAATGGAAAGGGAATCTGAATTGTTCCACCGATGCCCATCGATTGTCACACATGAATCATTAAGTCTTGCATTTCTGTGGGCAACCCTTGCAACTTGCTTGGTAGTGGTTGTGTTACTTCCCCGTCGCTGGCGGGTCCTTGTGTATTTTTCAACTATTTTTGTTTCCCAGCATTTTTCTTCGCCAGCTCCTGGGATTCTCCACGGGTTCTTTGCCGGTAGGAGCTTTGCTAACTTTACTCAAGGACCCTAGTTCAACTAAATTCATGAGCCTGACAACAAATCCTCTGAGAGCGTCACCCATAGTCGTGCTATCAAATGTAGAGATAGGTAAAGGTGCGTCTTTCACATAAGTCGATTGAATAGAGACGCGTACATTTCCCTCCCCAAGTGCGACACCGTGGACAACATTGGTGGGGCGACTATCCAACCATGCCATCCCTGTTACAACAACAATAAAATTGTACTTCCCCTCTGTTGGAGCCAGAAGAATGTACTTACTACCATCACCAAGGCCTGATGAGGGGGGCTCTACTGGTGGCGTAGCATTATGGACAGTACAACTCTCCTAAACACTACATCATTGATCCACTGTAGGAGTTCACATTCCCTCTCCTGCAGGTGTTAAGGCATGGCCTAGGAATGATTACATTGCTTCTCATCTGGCCTTCATTATTTCCACCCTCTTACGCAACATTGCCAACTCCTCATCCCTTCTTAATCTGCCGGTGGAATGAAAATAAGTCAACTTTTTGATAAATTGGGATTGCCCACGAACACGGCTAGAGTGCTCTGGGTTTCCTAATGATCTAGTAAGCACATTATCAGTCCTTTAAGATTGAAACTTTTCCTGAGACTCTTTTTCAGCATATTGGTCCTACAAAATTTAGAACAAAAATATTATCAATTTCTTGACATATTTCTCATTGATCGAACAAATATTAAAAAGAAAAGCAATAACTCACAATTAATTTGCCGAGCTCTTCACATTCTGAAATTTTGTAAGTTCCGTCCCTTTTTTGTGTATGAATTGCCATAAAGTGGCTCGATCTGGCTTATCCGTAGTGTTATGTATTTGCATATGAATTCAATTAAAAAGTATATTAAAGATTGTAATACAAACAAAAAGTAATTAATATCATTGAAAAAAAGTAATTGAAGACTAACATT